CGGGTAATGTCCAACAGTTTACAGGACACGATGCTGGACCCTGGAATTCACCTCGGTCTCTTTGCTGTCCGAGCCCGACTAGACAACCGCGGATTCGACGTTCTAGTCAGAAAGGAGGCGCGCAACCTCCTCCCGACCACGAAGCTATCCTTGGAGCGGCTCGAGGAGTGGCACGTGGTTTTCCTGCGCCGCCTGGAGGGTCTGAACTTTGCTGCTGCTGTGGAGAAACTAGACCGAATGAAAGGGGACTGTTCGCCACAGGAGGCACAGCTAGTACGCATCCTCCTGAACGCCATGAAAGTGTTCCGAAGCTCAATCAGCGATCCGGTTTTCGACACGGCAACTCTGTCGTCGACAATCGTTCGCGTACCCTGTCGTCCAGCCACTGATGTCGCTCGGCCGATGAACTGCTCCCTCCTCACATTCAGCATGGTGCTGCCAATCCACGCCGGACCCACTGTGCACAAGTTCAAGTTCATCCCCCTCCAGTTTTTCAAGACGCACCAGCTCGTATACAAGAACTCGCCGTGCCACGCTGCTTTCGCGCGGGACGTGCACCGCGAGATGTCATCTGTGCTGAACTCAGTGTCAGTCGGCCCTCCGCCACTCGTTCGCTCGGGGACGTCACCCCCCGCGCGCCGAATGATGTCGCCTTTCTCCAGACTCAGACGTCAACAAGGGAAGTACCGCTTCGGCGCCGTCGATGCGGCGGGCAACATCATCTCGACCAGTCAAGAGCGCCTTTCGACGACTATCTTCGACAAACTGAGCATCAAGAGCAGCCAGGAGCACGACCCAATGTCGCCAATGCTGCTGGGCGGAGAGAAACTGTCAGATGATGGGCAAGCGCTTCCAATGGGGTATCCTCAGCACCACCAGCAACTACGGCTCGGTGGGATCATGGTCTCGCAGGAGATTACTGTTGACGTTCAGGAAGTCAGCAGACTTGAGCCGAGGAGTCTTCCGGCGGCATATACGCCCAGCGATCACCGACGGATTCCAACGGTGTTGGTACGGTGGAAGGGTAACCAGGGGGTGGCGGGTAAAGGCGACAGGACGAATCGTGAAAGTCTCGGGAGTGGTGGGGGACCCGGGGAGCAGGAGTCTGCTATCGAGATGAATGACGTGACTGGTGTTCTTCGTTTCGGGTCGTCGAATGTCGAAGTCAAGAAGGAGGATGAAGAGGTCACTTTCGTAGAGGAACTGTTTGCAGCCTGCATGGGTGAGATAGTGAAATAATGCCTAATACAGAAGCAACTAAAAATATCCGGACATCAGCTCGGCCTCTGAGTTGTACCGAATGACTCAGGCTCTGAGGAGGAGGGGGCGTCGTCGGTGGAGGCGTCTGTTAGGCTAGGGTAAAGAACCTTGAGTGGTTGTCGGCCACGGCGTTCCTGTGTCTATGTTAATACGTTTCTGGGTTCGTTGATTCGAGGCTCCGCGATTGTCGGGTCTGTCGGCTGCTGCACCCATCACCGCTCTCGCGATTTGTTTTGCTTTTTTCTGCTGCAGGAGGTCTAGAATGTCGTTTCTGGCCCCGGTAGACGCCCCTGGTCTACGGCTGAACTGGCGGGCGCGCAATATTGTCCGATCCTGTGCGTTAGCTTTATGAGTAGCTGCATGAGGCAATCCGAATTGGGCATTCAGCCCTTTTTGGCTCAAGCTCAACTTTTGTCGCCGGTGAGGTCGCTGACAGACTTCTTTGCCGGGTCGGATACCACTGGAGCTGGTGTGTCGCCCGCAACAGCAATGTACGTTGCCGGTCACCACCTCAGAGTTCCGGCGATCCTTTGCTCGACCTCGATGATGTTCACGACCCGGGCCATGACTGCCTTGATGGGCATGTAGCTGACGCCGTCTGGGACGCGAGTCAGCTCCGAGTGGTTGGAGGTCGTTGATTCTGGCGCATTACCCCTGTCAATTAGTGGTGGCTTATGCTCCGTACGCTTAACATAATCCACAAGCGACCCGCCCACACAAGCGACCCGCCCACCTTCTACGCACTCGTACGATAATATATAAGTTAAATCAACCATAACGCCTTAAATCAATTCAAACTATTCGGAATCCTCTTCTTCAGAGGCAGATACAACTTTCTGACACGTACGAGCATTATGCCCGGGCTCGCCGCAGACGCCACATCGTCGCGCGCGCGTTTCGGGCCTCCTCGTACGACCACTATTCTGACTCGTTTCCGCTATTAACTGCTGCGTCGCATCGATTTGAGCCTTCAAATCCTTTGCCTGATCAATCGTGAGGGACCCTCCTTTCTGTAGCTGCTTTCTTTTCGTACGACGACGGCGGCTAAGGCGGTCGTTTGCATCTCGAAGTTCGGCGAGCTCTTGGCGCATAAGGTCCTGCTCGTGTACCATCATTATGACTCCTTTTCTTAGCTGCCGTACGCTCTCAACAATGGACGACGGTGAGCTATTCTGGTGTCGTACGATGCGATTTTCAATATACTTCGTCTGCGATTCGGTCTCAATTGGGTTGTTCGGCGTCTTTGAAACCCATGGGGGTGGTAGTCCAGCAGAGGAACCTGGCGGTGTCGGCGTATGAAACTTCATATCTAGCTGTGAAATCACATAATTCGGGTCGTACGGTACTAGGCCTGTCGCTCTGAAGCCTGCCTGGATGTTTGATTTGGTCATTGCAGCGTCGTACGCCTTATAAAAGGCTGGGAGGAAGTCCTCCTTTGAAACGTGGGTTACGTGCGCCCGCATTAGACCTTCGATTTCTTTACCGTACGCCCGTTTCAGAGGTCCAAAGCACCCAACATCGAGAGGCTGGAGCTTATGCGACGAGTGAGCAGGCATACAGAGTGTTACGATATTCTGTTCTTTGCAGTAGAGCTCGAAATCGACGGAATGGTGGCTCTCGTGGCCGTCGAGGATGAGGAGGCGGTAGGTACCCTTCGTACGACTCTTCGTATGGAAATCGAAGTGTTTTACCCATTCTAGGCCTCTCTCGTTCGTCGTCCAACCGTTTTCTGAAAGCGCGATTACCCAGTCGGGCGGTAGGGGGCTATTCGCGGTCCAGGATTTGAGGTGGACCTTCCCGGCGAAGATGATATACGGCGGGATTGAATAGCCGTACGACGCGATGCCCTGGATTACTGTAACCCATTCCTGATTCCCTTGTTGTACGGCTCTTGGCCTCCCGCGTCGATCGGAGGTCGTAACGACGGTTTCGGCGGAGATTTTACCCATCGCGAAGCCCGTTTCGTCGAAGTTATAGATGTCGTCATCGTGGATCCCGTATTTCGCGATTATGTTTCGTACGAGCTCAAACCACGCGCGATACGCGTCCGGATCCTCGCAGAGGACCCTCTGGTAGTCGATTCTTCGATTTAAACGCGTACGGAGCTCAGGTCGTCGTCGTACGAAGTTTGAGGCCCAGTTCGTTCCGACGCGTGGCGCGTCGCGTGCGCGGAGGAGTCGATCCGCCATTTCTCGAACACCACTAAGGCGCGGTGGAAACGAACGCGAATCTAGGTCGAGTACGTATCGTACGATACTATCCTCTTCGTACGAGGTCAAGTTCTGGTTATGTGGTCGGGTATCGCGTTTTTGCTGTGCACCGCGTCGTCGGTCGCGAAGTGTCGTACGAGGGACTTTGTAGATCTGCGCAGCCTTTCGTACGCTTAATTTTGGATCGGATTGAAGCGCGTTTAGTGCTAGAATAATATCGCCTTCATTTGATTGCTGTGGCATGATTTTTGGTGGAGGAATATGGGATTAAAGATAGCTTATACGAAATGGAGAGGAAAGTGGGCGGGTCGCTTGTGTGGGCGGGGTCGCTTGTGGATTACGTTAAGGGAACCGATAAGGACTAGACCGGGTACTATACTAATAGTTATATATATCTACATAACCGTCACTCCGCTAAGTATAATAGTTATCCCCTAGGACATAACCGTTACGAAAGAAGGAATAACCATATAAGCACGATAAAGGATAAAGGGTATATAGAGTTAGGAGGATCTCCTTATAGACAGTCATTACCTTTATACTTCAGCGATTAATCTAAGTATTAGTTTCACCTATACTTAAACTAGTCACTCAATTGCCGAGACTAGTATCTCTTCTAAGAGACACGAACAACAACCTAGAGAGAGAACGACAGTAGAGTGTTAGTTGTGATTGCACAGGCTTTACCTATCTTGCAGAACAGCAACCCCAGCGCCCTGCCAGACGGTTAACCCCGGAGGCAGGATCGTGACAAAGAAATCGAGGGTACTATAGTTATTTTTGAAAACTTGGTACCCTCCTTATAAAAAAACTTAGTACTCTAAGAGGGTACCAAGAATTCTAGGTATAGGAAGTAACAGGCTAGCGGAGGTGACAGGCTGGCGGAGGTGACAGGCTGGCGGAGGTGACAGGCTGGCGGAGGTGACAGGCTGGCGGAGGTGGCAGGCCGGTCGTTTCCGGGCGCTGATTGTACCAGCCGTATAATCACCCCCTAGAAACATATACACCAGTATCACGGGCGAAGGTTAACATAGCGCGACACTGCTAATTTAAGGTATGGCCAGCAACAGTCATTTCCAGGCACGGATTATACCAGCCGTATAATCACATACTAGTATTACGTAATCTCAACTACCGTAAAACTAACAGGGTCGGTGAGAACGTGATCGACAACTGCGATGCGGGTCATGACTTGATGGACTCCTGCGCCGGTGTCACTCGTAATGAGGACCACGGCTGCAAGGCAGATGTGCGTCCCTTGTTAGCTGCCACGCAGGGCCAGGCAACCACCCATTCTACCACTGCTTCATACTTGTAACAGCTACAACGTGCTCTCATCTGTTATGGAGAGAAATACTTGTCATTGGGAAATCGACTGTGGATCTACTGATAATCCTGCTTGGCCCAACTTTTGTTCCAGCTGGCATGGCTTGGTCTCCTTTTATGGACGGCACGCATTCTCCCACAGACACGGCTGACGGAGCTCAGAATGTCATTCTTGCTTTCCATCTGTGAGAGACATGCAGGTGTCTATGATTCTTCACAACTTCCGGGTCGGCAGCTGGAAGGGAGGTAGTGGCCGCTGGTGAAGCAACCCGTGCTATACTCCCTGTACCACACACTGTCCCCGACGCCTCCGATGACGACTCTTTCGCCGGTGATAGCGCAGCGCCAGTTGTCTGGACGTGTTAGCTCGGTCCTTCCAACCTGGAGGCCATTGAGGGCAAAGGGTAGAGCTAGTAAGGCTTACAGAGGCTGCCTCCATAGACGTAGTGGGTGACCTGGCAGGCAGTGTCTGCACAAGCACGGCAGTTGACAGTGCCGGAGCCGGTGACGCGGCAGTTCTGGGCTCGGGCAAAGATCTTCTTGGGATTGTTGTCGCGTTCCTCGATTCCGTCGGCCTCAATTTCGTCGACGGGGATGGGGACGGCGTACTCTTCGACGTCGCGGGCGGCGACTGCTTCCACGGCACTGGGCAGAGCCAGGACGCTGAGAGGCAGGAGCGCGACAGTGAGGATGTTGATGAGCTGCATATTGAGAGCTGAAGATGATTTTGATATGACCGTGTAGAGCGCGAATACTGGAGTCCTGCGGTGATGGTGGACTGAGAAACTGAACATCGATGTGAGCGGAAGTTGTCATTTTTATACCTGAAGAGACGTCCTGACATCTCTTGGCCCTTGTACTAGCAGCATCACATCATGGTCAGCTCGGCCATCTCTCTTGCCCGTGTTCCGGGGAATCTCGCGATGCCACTCCTCACTCATGGCTGCAATCAACCTCACTTCTCAACGGCTAGATGCATCGTGGGCAAATATGGAAAGTAAAGCCATAAGCAGCGTCCATGGTGTTGCATCACAGCTTTTATTGAGAGTTTAGCCCGGTGCAGAAGCCCAGAACAGTCCAATCACGCTGAGTTTTGACTTGGTGGGTGGCATTGCCTGGCATGTCATGTCGGGGGGCTGTGGTCCGTCGGGCAAACCTCTGAGTCGCTGCGCAGGCCGTGGAACATTCGGTCTGCATATTCGAGATCAAGAACCGTAAGCCGGGGATTTCGGGCACGTGTCCACATATTGCGGTCGTTGGCAGATGTGATAGGCCTTTGGCCCACCAAAGCATTGAATCCAAAGTAGGCAGGTGGTATTCAAAATTCACTCGGCGTCTGACGAGAGATCATGGCTGCAGCAGACCGTCCACCACCCACCCATGAACCATCTCCCAGCCCCCTTTCTTCCACACACCTCGGAGCAGAAACGCGCCGATTGCCTTCTCCATGCCGTATCTGCTTTCATTTCCGCAAACTCAGGGCTCGAGTCGATCAGAATCATGGCTGCCGGCGCTTCGTGAAACTGTAAAGTTGGGCGCACGTGTTGGTTAAGCTGGTGCCCTTCGTTTTGTTGGTGGGCGGGAGGCGCGGGAAGGGCGGGAAGAGGGGGGAAGGCTAAAGACCATCAACGACGGGATGAGCCTTTTCTTTCCTCCCGACCAACGAGCGAGCTTCGCCTCCGAAACATCCTTTTCTGCTGAACTGGTGGGAATCATCCAGACACTGGGCGAAAGCTCGGGCGTGGCCCGACCACCATGGTGGCAGTACTCCGTAGTCTCATCGGTCTCAGGGGCCAACACACCATCTTCTTGATTGCCAGCGTCGTCGGGGCGAGAGCCTGTCGCCAACCAGCTGTCAGAATTACTTGGGAGGCGAGCGTGAGGATTTTGAAGAGAGGGACTGCCTGCGCAGCACCCCCCTTAAGCAAGGGTACATGTTTCCTGTTGACGATATCACGTTACCGGTCTAGCCTAATGATGAACTCTCTTTTTTTTTTCTGTGCCTGAGTTGCGACAACGCGTCGTCGCGTGGCTCTCACCCTTCATCTTTCCCGCCCGGGGTCTGCCGTGTGAACCCCAGCTCTCTCCTTCACTTACCTGAACCTTATGGGAAAATGGGGGTAGCCCAAATGGCCGGGGGGCGGGTGGTCCCTGGGGGTTAGCATCCCTGCCCACCGTAAGTTTGTGTCCAAGTGCCAATCCTAATATGGCGCACTTGGGGTTCAGAATAAGTGCAATGGCCCAAGCGCCCGCCCCCTGTTGTATGGCAGAGACGCGCCAACTGGTCAGGAAATTCCTTGGGCTGGACATAGGCTCAATCTGGGCCCTCGGTCCCGTGGATATGCCTCCCGAAGAGGCAGCCGTTCGGGGCTTACAGTTGAATCGGGGTTTACGGTCGCATCGGAGCCGAAAGTTGCTCCGGGACTTATCATTGCATGATGTCTTATAGCTTATATCCCAGGGTCCATACACACCAACGGGTAATCTGCGGTACCCAAGCTCGGATCGGGCTTGGCTTCAACTTCAGCAAAATGGTGAAACAGGTGTTTTCCAACTACACTGCCCCATCACGCAATGGCACTTGCAGGCACTGCCTTGTGATCAGCATTCGAACGAATGGTTACAACGGAGCGATGGCAGCGGGGGAGCAGCGGGGCAGGGTTTCCAAGAGAATAGGCGGGGGCGGTACATTTGTCCTGTTCAAAGAATGAGAACCTTCGACTTCCAACTACCTTCCGAGTGTCCATCGCGTAGTCAGGGTCTCTCTCGACTGTGGTGCCTGCCTATGGCGATGCTAAAGGACCAAAGGCACCGTAGCCGGAAGTGCAGGCCTTGGCCGTTTGGTCAGCTCGAGTCTTGCGCTTTATGCCAAGCAACCGCTAGAGCTAACAAACCGGGACCTATACCGGGGGTCTTTTCGTGTACCCCCTTTTGTCCCCTTATTGCCCACTCTTCGAGACCACTGTCAGAACACCCCTATATGTGCCACTTTGTGGCCTGAGGCAGCCAGATACGAGATATCGAGCACTTGGACGGAAGCCGAGAACGTGGAGAATCAGCAAGATAACTGCGCGGGTACGACGTATGACATTGATCAAGCTGGAAAAAATAAGCAATGCCGAGAAAAAGTAAGCACATAAGACCGGTGCTAAGAATCTTGCCGCACTCACTACAGGGGTGCTGAGTTTAGTATTTGTAATCTGTCCGAAAAGGCAAGGAGATAACCTGCTTCTAACGTTCCGCCGCCTCATGATGCGCGCCACCGCTGTTATAAACTAACAGCATCTATATTTTCCCTAACGGAGACAGAAGTTCCCGAGAGACCGAAGCCTAACCATCAATTATAAACCATGCTGGCGAAGAGAGAAAGCTGTATGGCAACCGAGAGAAAGAATGCATCGCCTTCTTCCTACCATCCGCATGGCTGGCATTTAGCTGGACCGCTAGGAGCCGTTCGAAGACCAGCATCGAGAAGCACAGTCTGGTTTCCATGCGGTTATGGATATGCAAAGCTGTCTGATAAGAGAGGAATTATCCCGGCTCAACATTGAGTCCGACTTGCAAAACGGGGCGTAATCATCCGAACAAGAAAGGTAGGTATCCGCAGACGATGATAAAACTAAAGAGTCCTTGTGCAATGCGGCATGCTCCTACTATATAATGAGGCCTTTCTTTCCTTAATCCCATCATGATAAAGCCCTACTGGCAAGTCTGTACTTCTCTATCCTCTCAAACCCAGGCTTAGCGACCATCGCCTTGCCCATTCCCGCGATGAAACTCTCCCTTGCGCTTATTCCTCTCCTTTCTCTCGGCATCACTGCCGCCCCTGTTGAGGATGCGAAGAATCTCGGCGCGCCTGTCACACCCCGTGAGGATGCTAATATCCTCGATAAGAGAGATTTGCGTTGCAAGATTGTGGGCGCCGACGAGGTTAATTGCAGGAAAGGCTACTACCTATCCACCAAGGTTGTACGCAAGCTGAAGAGGAACTCCATTTACACCTTCGACTGCTTCCATAAAGGGGGCCGTGTTATCATTGATGGTGTCCCCAACTCGTATGTGGAGTTAACTGGCTGTATTGGTGCAGGCGCCGAAACTAACATCTTCGCAGGAGCTGGCAATATTTGCCACTCTATGGTTGCTTTATCAATGGTTACTATACCGATAGCGAGTGCACTTCGGGTATGTTTCTGTTTCTCCACGCTAATAGCTTGCGTCTTGGACTAGCAACCCGGTCGTGTTCCAGACAAGCACGAATTGCGTAGCCCACTCGACCGCACATTTCTCGCTTTTACTTCGAGGAAGCATGTCAATTATGAAAAGACTCTTCCCGTTCAGGTGAATCCCATTCAAGTGAATCAGGAAAAGAACCCAGTGATGTCCAGCGTTCCAGGGGAGGAGTATACACCTTGGCTTTTCCTGCTGGACCTGCGCCAGGAATTTGTCGTCGAATAACTGTAGCGGCTTCCCTTCAATAGCTGGAATGACGGCCTCATCTGTGGCCATGATGCACTGCTTTAGCACAGTCTCGAGAAGAAGCTGCAGACACGTGAAGACTTCACTCTCACAGAGCCACCCGTCTTTGCCTCCAACATGGCGCTTTCTGAGAATCTCCACCAGCCGGGGTCCGTGCTGTTTCTGGAAATTGGTAAATGAGGCCTCGTCCAACCTGTTTGTAAAATGAACATGAGCCTCCTGGTTTGTCTTGCGATAAAGGGACTGGAAGTCGCTAAATTTTTCCGTGACTATTGTGACGGGCTTGCTGTTCCTTGATTTATAGGGAAGCAACTCATAGGGCACTCTGTGAAAAATATCCTGGATAAGAGTGCCGAGCACATCTCCTGGGGCAGTCGGGATGACCGAATGACGCTTCGGCTTGAAGCGGCCGTCGTCAAGGACTGAGTCGAGCCATTTCTGGCCTGGGGTCATATTTCTCTGCCGGAAGGTCTTTTGTCTGACCCACAGTCGTCTCTGCTGTTCGAGCTCGGATCTCGGTGGCGCCATATAGCAATGAATTCGCAGCATGGAGCCGGAGAAGTCGATGCTTTTGTACCTTGTGAGGGCTGCTCAACCGACATCCGTCGTAATGACATAACGACGCTGTCAGGCCAGCAGCAAAAAGGTAAGCAGGACAGCACACGAGGAGCCTTCATTGTACTTATTATCTCGTACACCAGAATTATAAACTGCTGGCAGTTGTAAGCAGGTGGTGATCGCGGCTCGTCATGATGACTGCAGTTGGGATTACCACTGCGCCGTCATCTGTCGAGGAAGCGAGAGAGGAGTAGTCGCCGAGCTAGTTACGATGGGCGGAGCGGATCCCTGATTCTGGTGTTTCCATATGCTATCAGACGTACGAGAGCGTATCTATATGTGCTAGTTTCAAGGCCCTTTTCTTATGACATCGCCTACGATAGTGGCGATCCGCGACATTGCCTGTTTCAATCTATCCTCGTAATCCGTATGTTTTACGTTTAATCATATCTAGCTTTCAGCAGGCATAACCGATAAACACCTCTCGTAGTACGTATATACTACTTATACGCGGAGTCTGTGTTATAAGCCCTCTAGGAAAGGTTAAGGATTTTGGGCTAGTTTTCTTCATTTGCCGCTGAATGGCTTCGACCTTCCCAATTCCGATATCTTCCAGATAGTCTTCTTCTTCGGGGAATTTTAGGTTACCGAGTAACCTCTAGGTTACATATAACCCCTTTTAGGCATCGGCACCTATGTACCAGTAGCAATGCATTCCACTCCTGACCCCGGTCGCCTCCGCCACTTCTGCAATCTGTTATACCTTGTCTTTGCCCCTTCTAATTTATGCCTTGCAGTTCAGCTCAGCCAAGGCAGATTGTCCTTTGCCAAAACCAGGATCCTGAATTGCTACCAGTCTTGCATAAGTATGCTCCTCTCCTGAACCCCCTTTTGTCTTCTCCCTCAAGTAGCATTCCGCCGCCGCCTACCGTTATTGACCAACTACCTGGTCCCAGGTGGGATACGAAGCGACTCTAGTTATCTGTCCGTCCTACGTCGTTGCTCTCTTGGTACACAAAAGTCGCTATCCGGCTGCTGGCCCGCCAGTGAATCGCACTCCATCGCCGACCGAACGACCGTTTCCCAAGAATACTCTGATAGAACCTGGTAATTGGCAGATAGGGCTTCTGCCAGTCAGCTGCAGCAGCGGCGCGTCTGCAAACTGCCCTACACAATCGGGCGATGACACCACGTCAGTGCCTCTGTGGCCAGTTGACGCGTAACCTAACAGATACTCCAGGACTCTACTGTAAAATTCTGCTAGCTCTTTGCCCTCTACCTCAACGACTATATCGATAACCCGGGGAAGTAACCTTGAAGATATGTCGTGTATGCTCCACGTACGCGTCGTTGCTTTGCACCAACGACGGACCATACTACGTCAGAGCTCGCCCGACGTGCTTAGCCGGCAAGAAATGATGTTGTTCAAGCATCCGAACAAGGCTTCTTCAGATGGTACCAGAGCTCCGTTGGAGTATTTGAGCAAAATATCAGCCAGGAAAGGGGCTTTGTGGAAGTGACAAGCATTCCGCCAGGTTATGGCTAGCACTACATCTTCCGTGAGGGAATAGCCTTCGATAAGCAGTGAGGGGACGGCCCCCGGTCGAACGAAGCTAGAGGAGATACAGCCGCAGCTGTGTGATTCTCTGCGAGGGATTGTTGCCATAGCGAATAAGTTCGTCAATTCATCACGCCGTGTTATTCAGAGGTAAGATAGAGAAGATGTATTTACGTGTGCTTTCAACGCGGTAGATACGGTCGAAAATAACCTGAGCTAAATAACTATTTCCGTCCTTTGAGGGCTAATGTGTACACCTATAACCGCGCGCGTAGCTCGCTAGCGCTTTCCGTATGGTCGGAGAGGATCTAACCTCGCTAGAAGAGGCGCCGGGTTTCTAGCTCCGGGCGCCCCGGAAAAGTGGAGCAGTGTAGTTGGAAGCGGGGAGGCAGGACTTAATAGGGCCGGCGAGGCCCGTCTCAACGGAACCCCGCTATGCATCCTCCCGCCTCCATCCCCCGAGCCGTTTAGCTGTGTATAAATTACCTATAACTCTTCTATTCGAGTTACAGCCTCCCTACTCCATACTCGTCCAGGCCCCCATCCCCGCTCCAGAGTTATATCCACTTCTCCTAGAACGATGTTCCCCGAATCAGCTCCAGCGTTCCAGACGGACAACCACCCATGGTCCAGTGCCCCTGAATTTCAGCCGCAGTACAGCACATCGTATTTCAACCCCTATCACAGCGCTGGCCCTTTTTACTACGCTTTCCAGAGTGTTCGACCGACAGAAGCATTAGGGAATGCCGAGGTCTTGAACAAGCTCAATGAGTTCATGAATCAATTAGACGAAGTCAAATGTCAAATGGCAGAACTGTCAAATCAATTGGACGACGCCAAAGGTCTAATCGCAGAACTATCGAGAGAAAGTCGAACGCCTGTGGTAAAGCAGCATCAGCCTAGAATCACGAATGAACTCACGCCTAATTCCTCATAGGCTTCTCCACGAAGTGGTCTACTCGATCGATCAAGCACTCCTCGGGCAATTGAAGTTAATAACCGCGTAACACCACAAGGCGGAATATCCCAGCCCCTCGAATTCAGAAGGGCGGGATGAGTACTCATAGTCCATTGATATGATAGCAAATATAATTATTGGTACTCGCCCACGGTTTTATAAAGATCTCTATCTAGGACATCTGAGCGAGAGCAGGCAAGGACTTTACCTGACTTTAGTGAAACGCACCTTTTCTCGCTCAAGCTGGAATCGAGCATCGGCGGGCTACGATATAAACCACGTGAAACGGTATCGACTTAAGCCCCGCATCTTATTAAAAGCCTGACAATTTCGTCCTTGCGATTATATTTCGCTACATCAAGTGTCGACCACCAGATATGGTTCGGCCGCGCTGCAATCAGGCGACCGCTCTCTATAGCCTTTGAATGGCTGTTCCGTGAGGCTCCCGTGCAGTTCGCCCGGCAGAGGACGGTGGTCTGGGTCCTTGTAGTAGGCGAACAAGTTGTGGTGCTTGTAAACTCTGTTGAGAAGGCCTTTCCGTTGCTCGACCTGGCGAATGTTGTTCCGCTTGGGCATCGCAATGTACGTCTCGAAAGACGTATTAGGAGAACCACCAAGTAACAGGAATGTCTCGACCAGGTCATGAAAGCCGACTTCAGCCGCCCATACGATTAGGTAGGGGAACTGCCGCAACGCAAGTCGTGCTATCTGATAGCGACTCAAAGCTTGTATCCTATGGTTGGCAGCTGCTAAGGACACTTGATCGAGGAGGGGAAGATAGTTAGAGACGGCCAGGATCAACTCGGTAGGGAGCTCTGCGAACATGTTGCCTCGAGTCTGAAGAGCTATGGAGATTCGCATATACTATATATTCGTCCGAAGCGATGCTTAATATATATATCTTAGAATAGCAGCGATAGTTTAAGCGCCGGGACGGGCTAGCGGTGAACTCTGGTTGGTGAGATACTCGGCAAGATTCTTCAAACAGATATTTATCACACAGACAGCCCCCTGGCCTAGATCGAGCGTCATTACAAAACCCTCCGATTGCCTCTATCTTGTTTACACCAACAACCCTTCGCTGTTCGGTTTTTAGAGATAGTCTCAACATGACGCCAATAACCTGTACCGTGATCGGAAAGAATGACGAGCCTCTCGAGGGTATGTATGTTATACTAGAGTGCTACGGCCAAGAGAACGTTACAGCGCAGCGGTTCGAATCAGTTACAAACAAGCACGGCTATGTTGGCGACTGGTTTCAAGATGGAAATACCCAATCCGACCCCATTCCGGTTCACGCAGAGGACTTTTACCTTATATACGTCACATTCCATGCTGGGCTCTACTATGAGCATGAGAAATTTTGCCCGTGGAAAACGGTACAAGGATCTGGGATTCAGGCACTGGGAAGGGGACAGCTATTGTGCTGCGTTTCGACCCCCTTATTACTGCGTATAGTTTAACCAACATCGGCACTACATCGGAGAACGCTTCCGAGACGACCCCCGTGTGGTCTACCTGGTCACAGCATGCAGACGCATACTGCAACTGGCTAGAGTTTTGCACGTAATCTCCAGTACCATCACCTCCGTCGTTGTGTTCATCACCACAATCGCGAGAGGCTCAGAGATCGTCCCAACGCCCAAAGCGCCGGCACGGACGCGGCATTCGCAACCCGCCATCGTCGCAAGGCTCCGCCTCGGAAAGGGAAGGTGAGGCGGACGAAGGCCCTGACGCAAAGTTCGAGGAATGGCCGCTTGGAAACGCGGTCCTGAAGCGGGTTACAGTGGACGGTGCGCCGGCTACTTTCATGCTGCAGTTCACCTGGGGTCCATGCGCAGAACATGGAGCGGGGCACCGTTGAACCGAGAATCAGGCCGCCGTTTCCTCCGCGAAGAGGCACCGCTCGGCGGGACAGAAGAGCAAAGGGTCCACGAAGGACGAGGACAAGCCGAGTTCAACTTCGAGGAGGGCGAGATACACTCCAGAGGATGACGCGAAGATCCGTCAGCTAAAGGGGCAGGAACTGTCTTGGATCGCGATTGCCAAGCATTTCCCGGGGCGGAGTGCCGGGGCTATTGAGGTAAGGTATCACACCAAGCTCAAGAACACCAACCCCTCTCAAAGCGGAGCGCTAGAGTGGGAGGTGGACAAGATTTGTAGCCACAGGGGGCTGCCTGGCGGCGGTGTAGAACTGCTTGTGAGGTGGGAAGGCGGAGAGGAGACATGGGAGCCTTACGAGAATATAGCGGAGACGAAGGCGCTTGACGAGTATGAGTGTCTTCATGGGCGGGTCGTTGTAGATATAGATACTCTGTGAGGTTTTGCCTCGGTTACGTGAATTCAAGACGAGTGTTGGCCCACAGCGCCGAAGCCCACAGCGTCAGGAACTTTCTGGCTCCTCGACCGACGTCCGGGAAGGACATCATGTGATTAGGCAACACCCTGGCTAGTACGTGTTGGTTGCGTTCACACCAGCAAGCCGACACTGTTTGGCCTTCTCTCCGCACTTGCAACCCCGCCAACCCCACCAAACAACTTCCACAACCTCGCTGTCACTAGGCTCGCAGAACGCCAAGAGGTCAGTCAGAATGAGAGACTTTTAGTCTCCAAACAGAACAGACAACACCAGGGATCGCTAGCCACCGACCTAACTACTAATCTAGCGGTGTGCTTACTGCCGCGGAGGAATAATGCATCCATTCTCACACGACCTGACGCAGTCTTCTCGTGGCAGACGCAATAGTCGGCGCCGTCCCCAGCTATATGCGCGATATATCGTCGGGTTTCGGGAGGAGAAGGGAACACAATGGACAAGTGGGTGGAAAACAACGCTTGGCTCGGCCAGGTTTCCGTGGTCCCCAACGCTCCCCCTTTCCCATGCCTTGCCTCATCTGTCGCCAGCATTTACCCCCTGACCCCCGTCAGCCTCACCCACAACGGCGGCTTTGTCATGGAATGAAACACCTTCATCGGCCTCATCCTCCCGCCCAGTCCCCACGCCACATTTGCGTCTCCCCCTTCCAACTCGACGTCAAAGTTCCACAGCAAATGCGCCGCGACCAGCCGCATCTCCATGTACGCCAGGTTTCTCCCGATACACACCCTCGGGCCCGTCCCAAACGGCAGCGAGGCTCCCAGCCTGTCCCCCGCGAACGCGTCGTCGTCCCGGCCCTCCCCCGAGCTCTCTCCCAGCCACCGCTCGGGCCGAAACGCGTCCGGCTCGCAAAAGTTGAGGCGTGAGTGTGTCGCCACCCACGGCGCGACAGCCACCGTGGTGCCCGCGGGCACGTAGTAGCCGTCGATTGTGGCGCCGCCGTGGGGCACGACGCGCTGCTGGCTCGCGGGCGAAGGCGGGAAGAGACGCAGGGCCTCGCGCACCGTCGCGTCGAGGTACCGCAGGCACTTGACCGTCTCCCATCGCGGCGGCAGACCACCTGTGCCGTTGCCCGTGCCGTCACCCCCCCGGATCTCGGCCACCAGCCGTCGGTACGCCTCCGGGTGAGTGCATACAAAGTACGTCCACCCCGTCAGCGCCGTGGCCGTGGTGTCGGTGCCCGCGCTGATGAACAGCGCCATGTTGAGCACGATCTCGGTCTGCGAGAGGGACTTGGACGACTCGCTGTGCAGGATCTGGTAGATGAAGTCGGTGTGGTCGCGGTCCGGGTCGGCGAGCCGTGCGAGCGTCTTCTCGCGCGCGTTGGCCAGGTGCCGCGACCGCCAGACTGAGGCTTGCGAGGGGATGAGCACACGGGTAAGGAGCCGCTCGAGCAGCGTCCCGACGCCCGAGATGCGCCGGATGGCTTGCGTGTACGTGGCGTCGACGAAGATGCTGATCACCGACGTCGACCACTCCGTGGCCGAGCCCTGGTCGAGGCAGCCGAAGGGTTCGGCGAAGCAGAGGTCGCCCATCAGGTCGAAGGCGAGGTAGGTGTCTGTTTCCATGAGTGTCAATGCCGTTCGCGGCGCGACAAGGGGCAAGGGTTGGTTATCCATACACCAGTCCGAGACATCGACAGCTCGGTTCTCGGATTCCCTCCGTTTCAGTATGTCTATGAGCTTTTGGGTGTGGTCTTGAAGAACACTTTCCAGCCTCAACAGCGCGCTGTTGGTGAACAGATACCCCAACGCCCTGCGCTGGCGAGCGTGCTCCTTATTCACGGCGAGACTGACGCCAGTCTGCCCATCCACGCTCCCAACAGCGCCCAAGAATATGGGACTCTTTTCCATGTTCAGGCCACCTTTCTGCCGGAACCGTTAGTTGCCGTGCTACAGACCATGGGTAGAGACGTACCCGCAGACCGTAAATCTCCTCCCGCGCATCTGGGCTGATGAAACTCAGCTCGTTTGGGGAGACGCGGACCACCGGGCCATATTTGTCGTGCAGCGACCTGTAGTAGAGATGTTGATTCCCGGTTATCAATGCAAAAGCTGCGGGTGCCTCGGATATGCTGTTAATCCACGGACCCGGAACCGAGCGAAGAGGGTGAAAGAGAAGCCGCTGGAGGGCCCAACAAAGGACGCCGACACCGAGCTGGCGGGTCAAGTTTGTCAGCGTAGACACCTCCTTCTTGCCAGGTGCTAACTTGCCACAATCACGAGCGTTGTTGACAGCATCTTTGCTATTTCGTTTGTTGGGTGTTGGTCAACAGGAAATGGTCACCAAGGGATGAGCTTGGTGGTGGCTGGCCCGGGCACGCCGCCTCCCCCCGTCTCTCTCGCCCTCCACCCCCACCAGGCGACTGAAAGTCGATTGCGCGTGGCTGATGTTGATCTTCGGGGCATATGCAACCTTCTTGGAAAACGATTGTCATCGTGGCCAATCACGGTCCTTGGCTCGTCAGAGGTACTGTACATGTCCGGGGTCTTGTCTCTGGGGCCGTGAGGAGAAATGTGCTCAAAAGGTCTCGATATCCCGCACCGCCTGCTTCAAGCCACCATGCCGGCCACGGCCCTTTGTACAGTGCATGTATGTACATACTATATTGCATTACTTGTTGATGATCACCAAATCCTCCGCAAACACAACCACGACAGACACCATCCATCATCCCGCCAACCATGCCCGAGGACACCAAAGAGCTAGCCGTTGGCTACACCCTCGTTAACGACACGCAGTACTCGGCGGGGCTGTTCCTCCTCGACCGGCTACAGATCTCCCCCGGCATGCACGTCCTTGACGTCGGCTGCGGGCCCGGGAACATCACAGCGCACATCGCCTCGCTGGTCGGTCCCGACGGGCGCGTCGTCGGCATCGACCCGAGCACCGAGCGCATCAATCTCGCCCTCGCCAGCCACCACACCCATCCAAACCTGACTTTCGTCGAGGGCAAAGCTGAAGACCTCTCGCGTTTCGACGCTGCCATCTTCGACGCCGTCTTCGTCAACTCGACGCTGCACTGGGTCCGCGACCAGTCCACCGCCCTGCGTGAGTTCGGGCGCGTGCTGCGGCCCCGCGGCCGTCTCGGCATCTCGGGCGGGTCGGGGGACTTTGAGGCCGCGCATGAGCGCATCAAGGCCGAGGTGCTGGCGAGGGTTCCTTACCGCGATTACCCGGATGAGAGCGGCGTGCCAAGGTTTCTGAAGAGCAGCGAGCTGGAAGAGTTGCTTGATGCTGCCGGGTTTGGCGAGCGGACGATTGCTGTCAACACCATTGTCAAGGAGGCGAAAGATGCTGACGCCATGATCGACTGGCTTGATACAAGCTCGTCGGGAAAGACATATGGCGCCATCTCGCTGGAGCTGCGGTCATTGGCGAGGGAGGAGATGAAGACGGAGTGGGACAAGATTACGACAGCGGAGGGGATCAGGATGGAGATGGAGCTGCTGGTCACGGTGGCGGCCATGAAGTGAGGTTTTGTAAACTTGGATTAGACCAGCCACAAGGAGTATAAAGAAACTGTTCTGGAAGTTGAGGTTGAAGATTGTACCAACAGCATCTCGATCAAGTAAAAACCCACTAGTTGTCCATCCACGTTCGCCAGCCCCTGATTGTTTGTTTACTTGATGAATCGAGCCGAGATCACCGCTGGCCGCTCAAACCCCACGGAAGGAGGACAAAATGGGATTCCAAATCAGGGAGAGGGGTAATAGGAATTCTGTTTCAGCCTGCTGTCCGGTTATTGCGTTGGGGCGGGGGAATTTCGGTCGGCGTCACTGACTTGTGTGTGGAGAGAGAGATTTTGAGCAGGTTTTACAGCCTCTCAATGCATCTCGCATCAGCCCGATGAAACACAAACAATTCTGGAGTGTTGATTGGCAGGCCGCATTTATCATTTTATGTGACTACACTGGCTGCAGTAACTGTCTCTCGTCCGGTTTCGGTCTGTTCCCGAGTGGAGGAGAAGGTGGTTTACTTCGGCCCCTTTTTCCCTCCCCAACGAATACCACAGCTGAAATTCGACCATGGCGTCAAAGATGGCAGCCGACCAGTCGGAAGACGTCACGACCGCCATTCGCCTGCAACCCGGGCCGGGACTCTTGGGATGTTCCTCGCTGATGGAAAGCACCACGCCCACTCGGGAGGCAGCACCAGACCCAGGAGTCCCCTTGGAGGCTATCATCATGGGTGGGTGGGAAGAACCCGAAGAGGGTGACCGCGAAAACCCCTTGAACTGGTCGTCGATGGTCAAGTGGGCGAATATTCTTACCATCTCGGTCGTCAGTTTTCTGGTGTGAGTGCCTTATCATGTTGTAACACACACCCACATGACAAAACTCAGGCGCTGAATCTCGTTAGGCCCCTTGTCTCGTCAATGCTGGCCCCAGCCGTCCAGGAGGTGATGGACGACTTCGGCACAACGTCACCGTCCTTCGCGACGTTCTGTGTCTCCATCTTCGTGCTGGGCTTCGCCTGCGGGACGTTGGTGCTGCCGTCCCTGAGCGAGCTGTACGGCCGCGTCGTCATTTACAATACCACCAACGTCCTCTTCTTGGGGTTTACCATGCTTTGTGCTGTCTCGAGGAACGAGGCCATATTTTTGGTCTTCCGCTTTTTCTCGGGGTTTGCGGGCGTGGCCACCATCACGATCGGTTCGGGCACCATCGTGGATCTCATGCCCAAGGAGAGGAGGGGCAAGGCCGTCTCGGTCTGGTCCGTGGGCACGATTCTTGGCCCAATGGTCGGCCCCATCATTGGAGGTTATGTGACCGAGGTTTCTGGGTGGCGGTCGATGTTTTGGGCCATCTCGGTCGCGGTGAGTTTCTGGACAGGGACGGCTTGCAAGCACTTCTCGCTGATGCTGAGTGTTACTTACAGATTGGGGTTGCCGCCATTGCATGCTTTCTCATCCTCCGAGAAACATATCCTCCGGTCCTGTTGGCACGGAAGGCGGCACGGCTCAGTAGAGAAACTGGAAACCCAAATTACAAATCCAAGCTCTCCTCAAACGTCACTTCGAGGGTGCTCTTCGGGCAAAGCATCATGCGGCCGGCCAAGCTCCTCCTCCGCTGCCCAATCGTCACGATCATGTGCACCTACGTCGCCACCCTCTACGGCACTCTGTACCTCCTCTTCGCTACATATTCATTCGTCTTCAAGGAGGTCTACGGATTCTCGACATTTGCGGCCGGCCTCGTCTTCCTCCCCGGCGGATTCGGGACGCTGTTGGGGGTTTTGTACATGTCACAGTTCAGCGACAGAGGAGTGAAGCAGCGCAAGGCCGCGGGGCAGATAGCCACACCCGAGGATCGTCTGCCTTTCGTCGTCACATTACCCGGAGCTCTAACATTTCCTCTTGGCCTGTTCCTCTATGGGTGGAGCGTGGAAGGACGCCTTCACTGGGCCATCCCGCTCGCAGGGACGGCCGTCACCGGGTTTGGATCCATCTCGATCTTCATCGGCATCCAGACGTACCTGATCGACGCGTTCGAGGAGTATGCTGCAAGTGTGGTTGGCGCGAATGCCGTGCTCAGAGGCACTGCCGGGGCGTTACTACCCCTGAGCGGCTTGAGCTTGTACGAGACGCTGGGATGGGGCTGGGGAAACAGCCTGCTGGCGTTTCTTGCACTCGCATTTGCACCTGTGCCGCTGGTCTTTGGCATGTATGGCGCAAGGATTTGCGGGTGGAAGTACTTTCGAACTGGACTATGAGTTGAGACTTGATTATGGGAATGGCCTTTACCCCCAAAACACACAGCCCGCTAGCCCTGCCTCCTACTTGACATGTGTTGTACTTTTTGCGTTGACGGTCACAACCGGCTGGGTATCATCTCCCCCGCCACCACGTTCGCCACAGTCCGAGAAGGCTCATCAGGGCTGAATCTCGCAATCAGTTCAGCCTGTGAAAGAGTGTCCAAGTTCAGCCTGCGCAAGTTCCTCCCCGTCTCCATGTAATCGACGCCGGTGGCCATCTCAACGAGAACGATAACGGCCTTGATCGGCGAGGCATCAACGCCCAGTTTTTTTGCCAAGGTGCACCAGCACACCAACAAGTCCGGCACATCCTCGGAGATGTTCCTGTTGTCGAGCGTAGACGGCGCCCTGAGCTTGTTGTGCGGCGGCGAGTTCCTCGCCAGGTCCACAAAGTCGGCAAAGCCCTGCCCGTAGCACTCGTTGGAGACCTCGACGGCGCTCTTCAGCTGCAGGCCGAGCGCCTCGCCGATCTTGATGCGCACGCGGTCGATGGCGAGCATGGCGTTGGCGACCGAGGGCGTCAGCCCGTCGCGGTAGAGGAGGAAGTCGCCCGCGGTGCTCTCGATGCGCCCTGCGTTGAGCAGCATCATGAGCGGGTGGAACACGCCGTTGACGTTGGACAGGCAGACCTCGAGGATGCTGCTGCACCATCGGAGCTCCATCGAGAAGATGTCTTGGATGGCCGCGTAGGCGGAGGGGTGCGGGCGTCGACCTCGCTGAACGAACGGGGCGATGTAGATGAGGTTTTTCCTCCCCAGGACGGTCAGACCGTCTTTGTCCATCCGGCATGAGTACGGCGACAGGTTGGTCTCGAATATGCAGCCGACGTCCAACTCGGCGGCGATGAGAGAGAACAGGTTGCCCGGTATGGCGATGATGGTGTGGAGGTGGAGGGAGAACTTCTTGAGTTTATGGAGGACCGTCTCTTGGCCGGTGGAGGGAACGGTGAGAACGAGAAGGTTGGAAAATGCAACGGCCTCCCCCATATCCGACGTGAGTTCGAGGTGTACGAAGCCTTCCATGGCACCACGGGCTCTCAGGCTGCCCCTGTCCTTGACTTTGTTCGCGTGCTGTTGATGCGTCGGGTGCGAGTACACCAACACATCTTTGCCGTGGTTTTGAAGGTCGGCGGCGAGGGCGAATCCAGCAGGCCCAGCCCCGATGATGGACACTCTGGCCGGCATGTTGGTGGAGGGGTAGGGTGGTGACATGACTTGGAGACCTCCGTGCCAGATCGGATCATCACAAGCATTTGTACACATTCCGGTTACAGAACAGAGCCCGGACGTCTATAAGCAGGCAAGCCAGCCATTCTGAAATGCCCCCTTCGAAGTCTAGATGGAAGCTCTGATCGAGGATGGCCTGTGGATCCCTGGCTCACCGTCCCAGACGTTGCCGCCACAACTTGCGTACCGGGCGGTGGGTTGGTACCAGGACATTGCACCACCCCCCCGGCCACGGACGAACTGCAGGTGAGCAAGTTTGCTCTCTTTAGAGCACACTACCCCTCCGCCTTGGTGGTAAATACCTCTTGCCAAGCAGGGGAATGCACCTCTTTTTCAGCCCCGTGGCTGCCATGGAGGAACATGCCCCGAGCGTGGCAGGTACCAGTACCTCCGCTCACGGGGCAGACTCGGGATCGATGGGGAAAGAGGCGGATGCTTATGGAAATTCTGATATTACGTAAACTCAGATGTCAAGTTGATATAATGCTGGTACCTAATCACCAAGCAAAAGCCTCCTCAACGAGTTCCACCCGTAGCCCGTCCTTGATACACCGCACGACCTTCTTCGTCACTACATCCGCCATAACCCCCGGAGCACATACCAGAACCGCGGTGGTGTGGTCGGTCTTAGCGTACTTCCTCAGCACAGACGTAATATCCATCCGTCCCGAGTTGAGCTTCCCCGGTGCATCTTCCGCGGGAGAGGCAGTGCCATCATCACCCGCTCCGGCAATAACATTGTCAACTTGCGTGGGATCCGTACACTAAAACAGACACTCGACGCCGTCACCCGCGGCTTGGTTAAGAAACTCCCTCTGGACGTGCTCGAGGAGCGCCCACTCCCGCGCAGACCACGCGAGAACGAACCTCTTCGCCCGCATGGCGCTGCGGCTCGCTGTTTTGTCATCTTCCTCTCCGGCCTTTCCCCCGCCCGCCACCTGGGACTGGTACGCCTGCACGACCCCGAGGACGTGGGTGATCCCGATAAACCCCGCGATGCACAGCACCGTGTCGGCGGTGAAGAGCGGGTTCAGGGTGGCCCGGTGGCCCGCGTAGGGGCCCTCGGTGTACACTGATAGTTCCAGTGTTCCCGAAGGGGAAGATTGCAGCCGGCGTTGGAGAGCAGAGGTGATGCCGCTGTGGGCGCGGATCAGGAAGCGGATGGATGTTTGTCTCGCCCCGGTGTTGACCGGGGCCGCGTCAGTTACTAGGGCCGCCTCTTTTTCGGTTGTCTCATCCCCGTTTTTGACCGCGGGAGGTAGTGCAGGAATTCCCGCACTCGGGGCTGTCGACGGCGTTGCTCACCCGGCGACGCTGAACGGGTGGCTCTCCCAGAACTTGAACCAGCCCAGCCGCGGGAGGTACAGGAAGCTGTGCTGTGCAGGCCCGAACCCCCACGCCACGCGCGGAAAGACGGTGACCTGCATGATGGCGTCGCAGCCGGGGACGGCCTGCACGAGGGCCCTAGACCCCCCGGGGCGGTTGTAATACGCGATGCGCAGGATGCGGGCCAGGCGGTCGGCGGACCAGAAGGCGAAGCAGATGTACAGCCAGACCTGGTAGCCGTACTCGAACCCAAAGTGCGGGACGAGGTGGTACCAGCACCCGACGAGGGCGAGGATGACGAGGGCGATGTGCAGGATCAGAAAGGACTCGTAGACACAGACGCGGAGCGGGAGGACGGCGAAGGCGACGGCCAGGCTGAGGGCGATGGTTGCGATGATGCCCCACCACTGAGGAAGGGGAGGGCGTCAGTACGGCAGTGGTTGTTGGGGGTCCTGGGGGATTTGGGATGGAGGTTTCCACGTACGTAGAATGGCTCTGCTGCTTTGGCAGCATACGCTGACGCGCCCTCATATCCGGGCTCAAAGTAAGCCAGCGTATAAGCGATGGAGTGCACGACGGCCTGCACGGTTGCCACCCGTGCGGTCCACCGATGGAGCGTCAGGAACGTCGTCTGGCTCCATCCGGTGAGGGCGATCAAGAGATTGTTACGGCCGGCGAAGAGAATGGAAATGCTCATGTTGACGAGGCTCAGCGTGCCCGTCCGGTTGCCGACATAAGTTCACCCTCCGCCTCGTGACCAGACCCCCTCGCGACCACCCCCACCTGCGCATGAAGGCATCGTCAACCTCGCCGTCACTCTGCAATAGCTCGTCAGCCACCCAATAAAAAGGCTTTAAATTAATTGACCTGCACCTCTATGTAACTCTCCTTATCACTATCACTTTCAATTAGCTCCACCTCGTCGTCGCTACTGTCGGTGTTGTTATCTGTGCTGATGTCCGACCCTATCTCCCGCCGCACCTGTCTCTTCGCGCGTTCGACGTTTATAACGGTAACGAAGTCTTTGTTGGGATCCGGGTCGACTTTGCGACGTTTGTTAGGCTTTGAAGCCTCCAATGCAGCTTGTAGGCGGTCTTTTTGGTGTTCTGCAGTGGTGTATCGGAGGTTCGAAGTCTCGATTGCCTTCGCTACCTTCTGGAACAGCTTCCTGCACGTCGCTGTCGTTAGCGCAGAATCGCATTTTATCAGTATCTGATACAATGCATATATATCGCGACCTGTTTTTGGCGTTTTGACGTTAATTGCGCATAAGGGCGTTAAAAAGTCCGGCTCTGTAGACGTCATTTAGGCCTGATTTGGGCCATCTTGAGATGTCGACTGGGACTCCTCGGGGGTCAACATCACGAATCGGGAGCTCAACGCTTTTGACCTATTGTGTGGCCACACCCCCGTGCCTCTGAAGCCGGCTATTATGTTCTCCTTGTTCATCTTGCTTTTACGCGTAGTTTCATATGCCTTAAGAAACTCCCGCTTGCCTGGGGTCTCGTTCATGGTGTCGTAAGCAACCTCTGTAACCGCTATACGGTAGGCCGACTTCACCGCCGAGAACACGCCTACGTTAAGTGGCTGAAGAACATGTGAGGTATGAGCCGGGAGGTAAATCAGCCAGATCTTGTTGATGAAGCATTCCGCTATGAATTCCTCTGTTGCGTGCGACTTATGGCCGTCTAGGAGAAGGCATCGCCACTGACCAGGAATAGCAGGAACCGTGTTGGGGATGAACAACTCCTTGAGCCATTTCAGCGCAATATCATTGCTGGTCCACCCGTTTGGTGAAGTCTCAAAACACCAATGCTTCCATCGATCGATTTTGACATCAGGAAACCATTGCTGTTGAACGGACTGGCCCTTGAAGATAACCAATGGAGGGATGGAACGACCGCCGGCAGAAATGGCCTCGATTATCGTGATCCAGGTCCTCCTGGCGTCGTCCTTTTTCAACGTGAACTTGCGCAGAGCATCACTGACCACGAAGCCATTGTGACCTAGGCCTTCTGCCACTCCGCACTCGTCCACGTTCCAGATATTCTCGGGCTGCACCTTTCTGCGCTGCAATGACGTCAACCGGTCGAAGAAGATATCAATGTTGGCCTTGCAGGCACCGTTGTACCGTTTGTATTCGATAAGTCGTGATCTCGAGGTTGTCAAGGTTGGGTTTCGGTGGATGAAACGACGGTACCAGTGCTGCCCAAGATGTGCGGCGGGGTCGTCGATCGACAGCAGCCGCATCGCGAAGTGCTTGAATTGCTTCAATGGTGCTGCATAGCCCAGCTTGGCTTGGTCGAGGGCCCAGGAGACCATATAGTCTTCCTGGGTGACGGAGAGGGCTTGTCGGACTTGGTATTTTGGCTTGAAGGTTGGAACGGCCTTGAGGCGACGACGTAGGTAGGATCTGTCGACTTCGTGTAGTTTGGCAGCTGTCGCAATAGGTACGCCAGCCTCGATGTCGTCCAGTGCGCGGCGGGCGCGCAATTGGTAGTCTTTTGGCACCATGACGATAGCCTCATTTTTGGGGTTTGTAATGGTCGTAATTATGTCTCAGAGAGACGCGAGGAAACAGGTTTATATGGCAGATTGTATGGTGGGGTGTTTGAACGCGTCGCGTCGCGACCCCTGGTCGTGATGCGCCCTGGTCGCGAGGCGGAGGGCGGACTTAGAGGTGCAGAGGTGTAGAGGTGCAGAGGTTGATAATCGGGATGTTCTGGTGACTTGCATTGCGGCAATGGCTGTGCACTCGCCGCTCGCCGGCGACCTGCTTACTTACGAGCCACGGAGTGAGGAAGAAGTACCGCTCACAACGGCCTTCGAGCCCAGGTCGACGAAGCGATCGTTCGAAACTGCTTTCCCTACCGCCATCTGTCTGGGTCGCCGATCTTGCAAAGCATTTCATTGGGTATTGCGAATCTTCACGATCGGGCGGTCCAGAGGTAGCAGAGTGGCAGAGTGGCAGAGTGTGACGTGCCAGCCAACCAAGTCAACAACGCTCTACACACACACAAGTCCCACTGACATGACACCAACCAGCCGTGATCAATCAGGTCATCATCCATGATCAGTTTACCTTGGGCGTCTAATAATAACTTGAACAAGTCACGCGAGACTCGTATCTAAATCAGACATACATTGACCTACTATAATATCTATGCGAGCCCGCGAGCTTCGTAATCTCTACTCGTCCAACTGGCCACTGCCTGCGTGATGAAACTCGCGGAGTCTATCCGACCCGGAACTGATATAACTATTAGCAAGAAGATAAGCTACTCTACAATACAGATCTAGGGGCGAAACGTATGACGACCATTTCTCTGAACTCAGTCCCTTGCCGATTATGCATATTGTATCTTCTGGCCCTACAAACTCTTACAGGTATCGCCTTTGTCATCTAGTCGAACGTCGGAGCTGCATAGATCTATCGCGAGCGAGGCAAAACTGGATATCTCCAGGACGTGTAATACGAACTATAGCACGAGGACCACGCAGATGCGGATTGCAACGGAGATAACAAATCCACAAGCAGCGCACTATCGTAATCAACACAGCCGCTGAGCGCGCTCCTAAGTCCAGCTCCCGCACAGACACAACAGCAAAACGCCTCGTCAACGAAGACGACTGCGCAGCAGACTTCTACGCAGTATAAGCAGTAGATCGACCCTGCGCTCGAGCGGACTCGGGAGTCTAGGATAATCAATCTCTTGGACGATGACGACTCGGACAGCACCGACTGCACAATCAGGGAGATTTCGAGACAATCCCGGAGACTGTGCAGTGGTCTGCAATAAAGGCATTGCAGGTGTCCTAACCGGGTAGGTGCGGTTTTAAGGAGGGGGCAGCACCACCAACGACGGAGTTGGAGAGGTGCAATTGTGAGGAATAGAGTGATCACTGCAATCCCATACAGGGACCGAAAACTGGGGAGAAAATCAATAGGATCGGTGAAGATACAACCCTCGCGCTTACGACCTGCGTGCCATCGTCTCGTGATACATGATGATGTCTATGTACAAGAAGCGCAGCCGCAAACCATAAGGAATCTTAAGTACCCTGCCACCCTGCACGGCTACACTACGAGCGCCGAGACGGGCTGAGAATATCCCAGAAGCCGCCGAAATCCGCAACTGCTCGTAGGATATCGGTCTCGTCGTTGCTCGACTCGGGTGCCTCGAAGGAGACGCGGATATGCGCGACCGAGTCGAGGAGCGGTCCTGTCTGATTTTCCATTCCGTAGTAGAAACACCATCCCCACGAGAAGGCAAGGTAGACGCGAGCCACGGAGAGATCCGAGCCGGTGACTGTCGAAACCCACTCCTCCATAAGGTCGTCAGCGCTGTATCGTCTCGTCAGGACCTCGATCGTCGGTGCCTTCGAATATAATGTCGAGCTGACCGACATAGTCGCCGAATGCGAGGTGGAGGGAGAGAGGCGGGCATGGGACTCCGCTACCAGAGAAGGCGGAGCGTACAGCAGTGAAGAAGACCCGAAGCTCAGCCGGGGTTGCGAAACTGAAGACGAACGAGCTATAGCTGGAGAGAATTGTCGTACGGAGCGAGACTCGATCCGGTCCGCTGGCCTGTGGATCGAGGAGGTTGCTGCCGGTGGGGAAGGAGACAAGGACGAGTCCCTCGCCTATCGTTCGACGGCGAGGCCCACTGGGAAGTGAAGGTGCGTCGGGCAATGATGAGAGGTGCGGGACCAGACATAACTATCGTGGTAGGGTTGGTTGAGGGGGTGGGCTGTAAATTGGCCGTCGGCCGTCTACCTTCATATGGACGGCGGACGGCGGACAGCCGAGTCATATGTGAATAGGTAGGCATTGTTCCCGGTAACGGCTATTCATCATCGCGGCCATTGCTCATTGAGTCACTGCGATAACCCGCTGAGTCGTAGCTATTTATTGTCGCGGCTATTGATTGTTAAGTTACTGGGACCAAACAATGAGTCGTGGCGATTTGTTATCGCGGCTATTCATCGTCACATCTAGCTATTATTAAGTCGTTGCGACTCACTATTGAGTCGCAGCGAGACACGGCTATTCATCGACTCGTAGTGAGGTCGCGGTGCCGGAAGAGTAAATATAGACACGCTCCCTCCCCTCTCTACTGCCTTTTCCTTCTCGGTTCTCCGTACAAGTCTTTCTTCCACTCCTACCCTCCACGACCATCAGGACATCTCCCAGCCTTCCGGCCAACTCTCCTATCTGTCTCGACTACCTCAGACGCAGACCTGTCGCTATGTCTCGACCTCATCAGCCCGCGGCTGCCTTTGCAGGCTCCCCTATCGACAACGGCCGGTATCCGTTGATCGGACCTATCCCCGTGTCCTTTGACCAACGGCAGACTCGTGACCGTATGGATGGAGGCCCTCCCGATGTCCGCTGGGTAGTCCACAGTGCAGCTACGGTAGATGTCCAGATTAACCTCTCCTTCCAAGATATCGTCGTAATCTTCTGGATTGCTGGTAATATGTAAGACCTATGGGAATCCGGTTTCCTATCTATCTACATACTGACCGGTCATTCTATATCTACAGCTATCGACTCTTCCCCGAACTCGACCAGGCTGCCCAGCCTGGACAACAGCCTGGACTCGGCCTCAATATAAATACTCGGGGTGCCCTCAGCCGTATCCACGAACTCGCGCCACATGTCAGACTTGCGCATATTCAGAACCTCAGCAGCGGCGGCCGGATCAACGTCGATGTTCTCGACCGGCTTATCCATGACTTCCGAGCAGAAATGCACACTATCGCGTCGGCGGACTGGTTCTACCTTCTCGGCAGCCTCCCTGATGCAGCTGCGCTTGAGTTCGATTCCGCTATGGTTTCCGTCCGGGATCGTATTAGCGAACAAGATCGAGCAGTACCGAGGGAGCATACCCGCATGCCGCGTTCATGGCTCTACGCCTTTGCGATAAGCTGGTGTCCTGCTGCTTACGACGTAGGTGCGTCCTACCAGGATGCCCACTCTCTCCTTCACGAAAATAGAGGCGCACACAAGCTCCCGCAGGCAGCTGGCTTCGACCTTCATTTGCCTACGTACCCCGTCCAGCAGATGCGTACTAGCATACAGCGATGCTTTATGTCGGTCCTCCGGAGCCGCCTTGGTTATAGACCTGCTCCTCCCGGCGCGACCATTGTCGAGGATAACATAACGGACCGTATAGAGATATAGAGGGGTGGACTACTAGATACGAGAGACGGGTGGTGGCTAGCTCTGTACCTGCCACGTTGTGTTTCTCTCTTGGAACGTAACCTGTTACTATATTCTGAGAATCGAGAGTGCCTTTCTCTCTCCACCTTGGCCTTAACAGACTTCGTGTTAGTACAGGAGCCGTAAGCACCTAAGCCTCTCGGTTCACAAGCCAAAGCAGCAGGTAATTCTTCCTAGGGGATATGTAATCCTTAGCGGGAGCTGGAGGTCGAGTCTATGGAGAGGGAGGAGTCTGCAGGATGGCTGGGGCGGGTGAGGATAGTAGAGGACACGGAGGGGAGACTCGTTGTCCTTATCGTTATTATCGTCGTCGCTGCTATCTTCTTCGCTCTCGCTCGTGTCGAGAGCTCCTTGGTACGCTCCGTGGTAGACCTCATCTTCTGAGCTGTCATAGGAGAAGGCCCAGCCTTCGTCTTCGTACGGAAATACGTAGTCCACCCTGCTAGGGTCGTACTCGGCTCGCTCAGCTTTGAGCTGTGCTTCCGTGGTTGCGCCTAGGTGAAGACGTGCGAGTTCCTTATAGACTCGACTCGTGTTGCTAGCGGTAAAGTCCTGCCTATTAGTGCTAGGCGTAGGTACAGGCAGCTGGCGCCGAACGCGGCTTAGAAGCGGTTTCCTGTTAACCTGCTAGTTTACTTGATCCTACGCTAGCAACGGACCAGTGGGATCTTGATCTAGGTGCAGGTCCTTCCGATAGAGACCAATGTTCGCATAGTTGGACCCTGGAATACTCCAAGGCCAGGCCTGCTGACAAGTTCACCGCCGTGAAGCCATTTGGCTCCGATGCTGGGCCCGTCCTCCGGCTCGGGGGGCTGTACCATGGGATCGACCGGGGCTGGAACTTCAAGGTGAGGTATGATTGCGCGTGGCCGTCTGATGGACCTCTTCATACCACCGACATCAAGCCTGAGGTTCGGCAGACCTGCCGTATTATCGTCATCTTCTTCAAGGGTTATGATGCAGACCTTTCCAGTCGCATCTCCAATTGCAAGCCTGCTGAGACCCCCGAAAATGCACCGGACGTAATCGGCCCTTGCAACTCAATGAGATCTTTGATGAGCTTGGCTTTGCCGCGCCGGTGTCTGATATTCCAGACCTTGACTACTCCGCCAGAGGACCCCGTGTACAGCCGGTCATTTGCTGTTTCCCAGACGGTAAAAGTAACACTAACATCTTCGGTCTCGCGGTCCAGCCGGATGGAGCACCGCGTGAAGAGTGTGGGAGCCGATTATGCTTCGGCCAGTGCAAGCTCAAACTCCATTTTGTGGCCTAGCCAGCTCCTCGGATTGATTATGCGACCACTAATCCGTACTGCCATAGTGATATAGCGCATTGCATTGCATTTCTCTGCAGTGATTAGCAGGGGCGAACCCCTCTCCCGTTGCGTGCTGCACGTGGTCCTGTCTCACTCTAGTGGCATGGACGCTTTCTCCCCAGGAGTCTGGAACCTGCTACTTTTTCAGTACTTGTTCGAGAACATAAAGTGTCAATATTACCCCCCGCGCTTTAATCTACGCTCTCGGCTCTGATCCTTGCCGATCGAGAATGAACCCCAGGCTGTCCACGCAGACTGGGGCCATAGTGGTGTCATGCAGCCACTTCCGACTCCCCGAGCTGGGGTCTGTACTATGTGCTTAGCCGGTGGACGTGCCAGCCGGGTGCCGGCTTGACAGGCGCATTACCCGGCGCCTCTTGATATCTTGCGCGATGCACGCTGTGCCGTTCAGGCTCTAGTCTCGCTATGGGGCGTTTTGGGTGAGCCCTCGTGTGGTCATGCATAGCATCTCTACCGCCCCGCCACAGACGCAGGGCCGGTCAAGCAACGGCTTGGCCATACCGAGGAGAAGCATCCGTCGAAATGCCTAGGGACTGACGAAGATCTCCACTCATGGAAGTCACCTGGAGCATTGGCTCAGCGACTCGACGAGTACGAGTCTCGTGGCTATGCGGGTTCTAGCACCAGTTTGGAGAGGGAATCTGGCGTTTCGGAATGGCGACGAACCTTAAACACCCCCATTCCTCTCTCGTTCGTCCCTGCCAAGACTATTTCGATTTGCAGAAACTGTTTACAACTCCACGATCGTAGAGTACAGCAGCCATCGCACTCTCCCACCACATCCCATCACCAAACCCCTTCAAGGCCTCAAGCCTCTGGCAACGGCCGACGATGCTTCCGCGACGTTCAGGGCTCAAATGCAGCAAGCCTCCGACGGCGATGCCGTCTTGGCCAAATCCCTGGACTCACGCAGACCTCAAAGATCACCCCCAGGGTTCAGTTCCGAGTTCCGACAGGCATGCAGGGGTATCCCAGAGCAGATCAGTGTTGATCGGCCCCGTCAGCTGCGGTGCCGCCGCTAAGAATGGTCTCACTCTGGCATCACGGCTGCACCCGACACTGACGCTGTGTTGTCTCCAGCTCCAACAGAAACGCTTCCAGAAGCGGTCGGCGTGCCTGGAAATACAATTCGATGACGGCCAAGGAGCGTTGTCCCATCCCCTTGGGTCACAACTATGACCGTTGCACTCACAAACTTTCTTTAGCAACCATGCCGCAACACCGCCGAGGTCCTCCGCGTCGTCGACTCCCTCCAGACCGGCGACAAGCACAAGATCACCACCCCGATCAACTGGGTTCCCGGCGACGACGTCATCGTCCACCCCGCCGTCAGCAACGATCAAGCCAAGGGGCTCTTCCCCGAGTTCCGCATCGTCAAGCCCTATCTCCGCTTCACCCCTCTCCCCAAGGAGAAGGCCACCGTCGCATAGACCTGCGAATGTAGTGTGTCAGTCAGTGCTAAAGGGTAGAAAAGATGACCCACAGCGAATGGAAAAAAAGAATTTCAAACCTCAAAGACACGAAACTGTCGAGGTACACTCATCGCTTTTAGTGTGATTGTTGTTTTCATGATCTGTGAGCTTTACAGGGTGTACTTGAGTCTCAAAGATGCCCATCCGGGCCCGCTGCTTACTTCCCACTCCGACGAGGAGAAATAGAATCCGCCAGTCTCATTCCTCCGTGTACGACACCTTTCGACAGCCTGTGTTTTCCCCGAATCCGGCCCCGCAACGGGAGGGCAACCCAGTGTTCTCCCTCCGTGTAGACACCACGGGCCCTGAGGCTGCGAGCGACCCACCCGAGTCCGCTCATCCGACGGACAGCTCCAGCTAGTGCGACGTCGCATCACCTCGCACGATTTGCTCTCGAGAATGCACATCCCGCGGCAGACTGGGTCTTTTAAGCCACCAGCGAAGACCGTCTCCCCGCACGCTGGCAGAGCTCGGTCACTTGGCTACCTCGCGGCGGCGTGTGTTGTACATCGGCAGATAGTTCCCGAGATGATCAACTACAGGGCAGCCCTCCATTAATGGGCACTCATCGCATCATCAAGCCCGATCTTGGCCTGCACCATCCTTCTTCAAGTACCTCGAGAGCCCTGAGATAGAGCTCCCCGTCTGGCAGCACAACTCCATTTCATAGATCCGAGACACCACCGCCAGGTTGTATCCAAGAGTCGAGCAGCACCCAGAGACGGTTTTTTCGAATATCGTGTGTTCCCGCCATTCGACACATCTTTCACGTCATGGCCCTATCCGAGATGTTGGTACCCTGCAGACTCGGCATAGCTTAATCGATCCTACTCAGTCTTTATTATATCTCTGTTCTGGTAGCAGTGTCCATTCGCAGACCATTCGCATGGATTCCAAGCAAAGCATAGCATGATCTTGAGGACCTACATTACACTTTGGCAAATAGCATTTCTTTGACACTTCGCAACACGGGTAACCTCTGGTTGCCATCCTCAGGACTTATCGTCGGTTCGTCCGCGCCACAAGCGATGCCGTGAGTCCACTACTGTCGCATTCAAGCAGTGCACAACCTACGTCAAGAACAACGGGCCAACGGAAGCGCAGTGTATGGCATCGAAGCTCAACTGCAAGGCCCCAATCAGGTGTTTTCTTAACGCGGCGACAATGCAGCGGCCGTCTGCCCGCCAGTCGCAGGTCCGCGACGTGCCTCATAGTCGTATCGACGCTTCTGTCACTGGAGCGCCCCTCCCCCCTGCCGTCCCTGGCCGTGGGCACCGGCGACATCTTTTCCCCCTGGAAGGCGATGGCAAAGAGAGAAAGACAGAGCCTGCCGCTCCTCCTGCCCAGGAATCGAGTCGCTGCTTCGAAGACTTCTATTCTGATCCCGGGACAGCGACAAGGCCGCGCGAGCGACACGAGCCTCGCCGTGACAGCAAGTACTCGAGGAGATTGAGCACGAAGGGGCACAAGGGGTCCCGGCCTGCGTGGGCCATGAACGGAGTGAGATACCCCTTCTCTATGTGTCTCTGTCTCTCTCTCTGTCTGTGTGTGTTTATGTGTGTGTACGGGTGCGGTATTGTAGTTGTCATAACCCATGTCAGATACACAATAAAGGGCAACTTAGTCTAAAATGTCAGGCAAACACAGAAATTTATACAGTCTGCCACCAGCAAGGGAATTGACTACTAGGACAAGGAGACAACCTACCTTGTTGTATGCCGTCAGGCCGTTTGTCAGGGATAGGCTGACCAAGGCGTTGAAGCCATGGAGAGGAGAGGGAGGCGGAGAACCAGTCGTCACGAGAACAAGAGAGGAAGCAAGGGGTAAAGATGTGAGGAGTTAGGTAGAGGCGATGTAGATCAGGCTATGTCCATCAGGAATCCCAAGTCTTCAGGCCAGAACGACCCGCTCCCAAAAGCTTCACCCAGCGACCCAGAATCCTGGTTCCACCACACTTGCGTAGGCGGCGGCTGTGCTCCCCAGGGGAGGTCCCCAGGGCTCCGGTCTGCGGAATCAAGCATTTCACGCTCCGGTGTGGTCCTGTAACCCCCATCAGGCCGCACAGCACCAGGGTGACCAGGAATTCTCTGTGGCAGCTCCTTTGAGGTCATTTCCGAGTACTCGCCTCGTGGCTCCGTAGCAACCCCTGAGTTTTCGACAACGTCCTCGTCCGCGACGTAGGCGTGGATGCTGCTAGTCAGCTCCGTGGAGAAGGCAGGGTCCCGCGTGTCGAAAGGGGACTGTCCGTCCCCGGCTCGCGCCGGCACGCTCGCGGGCGCGCCTGCTTGCTGTGTGCGAGACAGCACCTGTGCCTGGGCGAATTGCCGCTCCATGTCCTCATGCTGTGTTTGACGCAGTATCAGCAAACAGAAAGAGAAATGGAAAGCCAGTTCGCAGAATGGGGCCGGCCTACCAGCGGTCGTAGAGTAGTCCAATACCGCATGAGTCCGCCAGTAAACTGGAGATGGACTCTCGCACGTCCAAGACGCTGTTCGTCGAGCAGTCGAAGCGCTAGACAACGCCGTAACTGCACGGCGGCGCAGACGTAAGCTCCGTATCCGATCATCGGCCACAATTTCGAGATGGGAGATTGTCGTGACAGATAGTGCTCCGTCATGGCTGTCAGTTTCAGAGAGTGCTCCCAGGCACGCTCCGCGGCGAGCTGGAGCATCGGCTGGCTGAGGATACGCGTTTGCCCTAGACAACTAAAGACAGGGACGACCGACGAGTGGAGGTAGAGGCTGCACAGCTCGAACAGGTATCCAAGAGAGAACATACGGCTGGGCTCCTCGGGTGTTGGACTGGTCGTCCCGCGACCGGCTGATCCCCAGTCCCACCCGGGCAATTGGATAGGGAGGCCTTCTAGCTTCTTGTCGAGGATACAATATTGTAAGGCCCAGTCGGAAGGAGTTCCACGGCTTCCGTGGATCGACCGCGCGAAATCCTGCACTTCCCACCTGGTTTCTTGTTGTCAGGACGAACAAAGATGGATATTGCACAAAAACAACTCACCAGAGACCCTGAACAAGAATCAATACGGAGCTGAACCCAACATTGGACTCCCGGTCCGGGTAGATAATGGCGCCTTTCTGGTCCAGATAGCACGCGTGCGAATTGGTGGCCACGTCATCGGCGTCGACGGGCAGCGGACGTCCAGCCACCTCTGCCCAGCAGTCTCCGGGGAACCGCGAGTTCTCTTGGCTGGCGCATCTAGTGAGCCAACAAGCCCAAAAGCACCCCAACCCAAGCTCCTTGTGGGCGGACCATCCAGTCTCGTTGGCATCGTCTAGATGGAGCAGCCGAGACGCCCTGTAGGCAATTGCTGTAGGCGGCGTCAACATGATCCGACCATGGTCAGTATAAGCAAGAGTTCCCTGTACATACCCGTGTGCACATTCGTCCGCTTCGTCTCCCCCTTTGCGAACCAGAACATGGCCAGCACTTGGCAGGCCTGCACTACCTCTAGACAAGGCCTGTCGGCCCTCCCCAGTGCTTGCTCGCTGGCCTGTTCTGCCCACCGCTGACTGATCGCCTTCCAGTCGGCAACAGATAGATCCAAAATGTCGATCTTGCCTTGGGACATGCCGCCAGGAGTGGAGGGGAGGAAACTAGGCGAGCCAATTTTCCAGTCAACGCGCGCCGTTTGTTCGAGGAGTGGAAGGAGGACGGTAGAAGCAAAGGGAGTCACCAGGTCCCATAAAGGCCAGCGAAACGTACATTGAAGCAAACGCCAACACGGCGAGCACCACGTAGGGGCATGAGGCTCCGCCCTGGTAGCTTGTGATGAATTGCCTCTTTCGAAACAGCAGGTCGGCTTGGTAGTGCCGTTCAAAGTAGATCTCGAACAGATAGAGCGCTACCTCGGCCGAGACATGGATCGGGGACGCGTCGCAAAGGGACACTCTCCTTGCCGACTCTGGCTCTGGCTCTGGCCTTCCGCTGGACGCCGGTCCATGTTCTGAAGCTGCCACAGGCAGTGTCCGCTCAGGATGGGGATATGGCGTACTGCACGAGCCTGAGTCTTCCAGAATGGGAGAGGGCTGCTGAACTGCAGCAGACGATGACTTCTCTAGAGCTCGTTCCAAGGCGAGGCGCTTCCGGTCCGGGGGATGGGGATAGGAGCACTGTTTGCCGGCGCGGTGGCATCGCTGGCACACGGGTCGCTCGCGGCTACATCTGAGCTAGTCATGTAGTCAGCAGCGGATCCGCCAGAGCAGCAGCACTCGAGCTTCGACGTCTGCGCATTGGATAGACGAACCTTTTGCTTGCGGCAGCGCACGCATGCCACGGCTGGCGCGTCGTCGGTCAGATCCATTGTTGTCGACAACGTGGATCGGCCCGATGAGGAAGGCAGAAGTCGGCGTGGGTCCTGGCCGCGGGAGCCTTTGACGACACAAGTTGTCGTACGTTCATCGGAGCGAGTGGTGCCGGACTCGGAGGAGGCCAGTCCAGGAATGTGGGAAGGGTCGAAGGGGCCCGCACGCAATGTTGAATGAGGAGAGGTGCTGAGGACCGGGGGGGAAGGAGCGCGCAGTTCGGGCCGAACAGGCCTCGGACTAGCCCACCTGCCAGCAGGGAGCAATCTCAGCAGTGCCCCGTGAAACCTTAAGCACAACAATCAGACAGCCACGTGATCTTTGCCATCACGGCTGTGCACTCGGCGGCAGGTCTTGGACTCTTGGACAATTTGGAGGCTGTGTCTGGCCTGGGTTCTCCAGACTCCGTCCCGCGGACAATACTGAGTTAGGGAAATGAAAGTGAGCCGCGGGCGACATACCCCAGGTTGCAATCCGGGGTCCCCAGACGGCACTTGCACACCTGGACACCCACCCACCTGCACCCTGCGCTGCGGTATCCACTCCATATAAAGCACCGGACACGGACATGTCCCCAGCATCATCTCAGACACCAACCATCTATCTGGCCTCTGATCCAAGACACCACTACCCTCCTCTTCGACTTGCTCCAGTCCGCAGCACCACCATGGCCGCGATCGACAACGCCGAAGCAAAGGCGGCGGTCAAGACGGTCACCCCAGACCACGTCGAGGACCACGAGGGCGGCGTCCTCCTTTACGATGAGGAAGGCCATGCGCGCAGGCTGCCTGTGCCCTCCTCCTCGCCCAACGACCCCCTCAACTTTGGCCCGTGGCGCCAGCGACTCATTCTGGTTGCAGTCTGCGTCTATGGCATCACCAGCTTTGGCGTCATCCAGGTCACGCCTCTCTTCTTCAGCAAGCTGATCCCGCTGTACAAGGCGCAATCGCGAGGCGTAAGTATCATCCAAGCCACCTTCACAACAAACTCACTGGTCTGGCAGCAAACTCACACGCGACTACAGCAATTCCCCGCCTCTCAAATCATTGAGCTGGCCAGCTACCCTTCGCTGTGCATGGGCCTGGGCAACTTCTTGTTCGTCCCGCTCTCCATGGCGCTCGGACGCCGCTTCTCCTTCATCCTCTGCAATGTCCTCCTTCTGGCCGGCATCATCTGGGCTGCTCTCTCAGACTCCTTCATGTCTCACCTTGGAGCTCGTTGCCTCCAGGGGCTGACTGCTGGCGTTGCTGACTGCTTGGTATGCTCTCCCCCGTTCCGCACGCACATTGCTACAAGGTGTGCTAACTGTTGGTCCAAGCTGCCCATCATTGTGCTGGACATGACCTTTCTCGACAGGCGGAGCTCGCGGCTCGTAGCTTACTGGACCCTGACCGCTGTCGGCTCCTCGCTGTTCATCGTTCCCGTGCCCTTCATCACCGAGGCCGCCGGCGGCAACTGGCGCGTCGGCTACTGGTACTGGGCGGCATTCGCAGCTTTTTCTTTGCTGGCAGTCGTCTTCCTCGTCCCCGAGACCTTGTTCCACCGCAAAGCAGCCCAATTCGACGGCAAGACCCACGTGACGGATTCGTATGGTACGCACCGGACATTCCTCACTCCCGAAGCTGCCCGCGAGGCAGGGTTTGAGGTCGCCGACGACAGCCAGTCTGAGACAGAGGCACCGGCCGGAGAGAAGTCCTACCTGCGCCAGCTGGCACCATTCACTGTCCAGCGCTCGCCAGTCGCCAGCTTCTTTGGCGCCTTCAGGGACATTTTCACCTGCCTGCTGATCCCCGGCACTTTCTGGGCTTTGCTCTTCAACAGCATGGTCTTTGGTGGTCTGGTCGCGCTCAGTCTCACCTACACCGAGCGCCTCGAGCTGGACCCGTGGCACTTCTCCCCCTCGACGGTGGGCACCGTCCAGGTCGGCGCCGCCATCGGATCCCTCGTGGGCCTCGCCTTTGGCGAGCTGGCCGAGCCGACCAGCCGCTGGCTCACGCGCCGCAACCACGGCGTCCGCGAGCCCGAGCACGTGCTTCCCAACTTCATCATTCCCACCATCTCGGCCTTCGCCGGCTTCATCGTCTACGGCACCGTCGGCGCCGAGCCCCAGAAGTACAGCTGGGTCGGCATCCACGCCGCGTTTGCCCTCTTCTACTTTGGCTTCTGCGCCATCTCGGCCGTCACGGGCGTCTGGCTCGGCGAGCTCCTGCCCCACATGTCGGGCCCGGCCATCGTGCTGACCTGCGGCGGCCGCAACGCTGTCTCCTTTGGCTACAGCAGCCAGTTCATCGGGTGGATCGCCTCCATCGGGTTCAGGCAGACGTACACCCTGTACGGCGGAGTCCTCTTCGCCCTCGGCTTCCTGGCCATCCCCCTGTACTTTATCAACCCCCGCATCCGCAGGGCTATGCGGGACATCAAGTGGCTGAATGCTTACTGATCAGGCACACGGGCGCGCCCCCCCTTCTTGCTGGTCTTGAACCAGCATGGAAGAGAGGTTGTTGTTGTTGTTGTTGTTGTTGTTCTCGGGGGGAGGGGTTTGGATCACGTGGATACTTGCAGAGCCTAGCATAGTTTAGAAAGGTTTTGAGTTGGCCCCGGAGGAACCACGGGATTGATAGTGGGTTAACAGGGAGGGTATAGTTAGTTGCCAAATCGTATGTCAAATCCCATGTTCTTCTAAAAATACCTCGGGCGCTGTCTGCAAGGTTGTGCCGGTTCTTTTCATTACTACAGCAGAACCTGCAAAAGCCGAGACACTACACCCCACCCCAGCCGACAGAAGTGGAATAAAATTGAGTACTATGTACTTAATCATACTTTATTTCGATAGACTAATTAGGGTATCAATGACACCATAAATACGCATAACACATTTGCTCTAGAAGTGGATCGATAAGTGGGACAGATACTTTAGTACCGTCAGGCAAAAGCAACAACATTAAAAGCACGTGTATGGCATGCATGAATGGCCCCATCAAGGTTTTCTTTTTTCGCCTTGCAGATTATATCTGACCGTTGGGGTCATGCATCGCATACAATCTATGCAGCCAGCTAGTTACTCCCCATCCCTCTGAGAGCCAAGCAGCGGCGAGCTCAAGGGCGCAAGCCCAAAAGTCCGCGCCGAGTCCCAGACGCTCATGGCTACCACATCCCCATCCTCGAGAAACCTGAGCTCTGCGTCGTCGGAGCTGCCCGCCGGGACTCGGCCACCCTCTGTCAGCTCGAGCAGGCACCCCAGCGTCCGGAGAGCTGGCGAGTCATTCTGGAAAGTCCCTTTGTCAGAAAAGATGTGTGCGCGCGGGTTTTTCTGCACCATGTATGTCAGGATAGAGGGGATGTGGACTGACCGGAGACGAGATTGTGCCGGTTCCGATGAGATCGCCCGTGCTGAGCCCGCAGCCGGACGAGGCGAGGTGCGCCAGCATCTGGCCGGGTGACCACCGGAGGTCGCGGAGATTGGACCACGATGTCAATAGGGGTCCTTTGCTGGTCGATTTCGGTCCTATAAATTTTGTCAGCTGTGTGCCCTTGCCTTGTGGGTTTTCCCCGAGACCGATTTGCACTTACTGGAGACCGATACCTCAAACTCCAGATCCCACGTGGACTTTTCGTCGCTGTGCCTCAAGTGCGCCGCGCCTGTCGACCCTCCCTTGCGAAGGTCGACTGCAGGAGACGCACACTTAGACCCTTGGAGGGTGTCGAGGGTAGTCACCCACGGCGAGATGCTTGTGGCGAATGCCTTGCCGTTGAAGGGACCGAGGGGTGTCATCTCGGCGAACTGGACGTCTCTGGCAGACCAGTCGTTGAGCAAGACGATGCCAAATATATAGTCGTTGGCCTCGTCGGCGCTGATGGTTCTGCCACGGGGGAGCGGCTGCGAGACGAAGAAACCAATCTCGGACTCAAAGTCCACCCTCTGGCTCTGCTGGAACGATATCGAGGAGGTTTGCGGATCTCGCACCATCCCGTGTGGGCGGTGGACCGGCTCGCCGTCTATCACGACTGACGAGGCTCTGCCATTGTAACCCAAGGGCATGGCATAGTGACTCGGTGGTGTCGCTGCTCCGGCAAGCCTGCTGCACTGCGTCCTGAGTCAGCATTACGCGCCAAAGTCTATACTATTGGTATAAGCAGGGGTTGTTGATCTCCACCCACATTGTCGACATGCACATCGGCGCACATGAAATCGGTAAAATTTGGAATGTTGAAGGGACGATGCATCGTGGCAGCCGCTCGAGACACAAATGCACGCTCGTTCAGGGAGGCATCGGCGAATAGTGGTGATGCACTATTGCCGAGCCAGGACTGTAGACCATGTCGCAATTGGGACCTTGCCTGTGCTGGCAACGCGGCAATCCCACCAAGGTCGTCGTGGCGGCCGATGGGGCTGTTGCGCAAGTCCGTTATAAGGTGGTGCAGGCCTATATCGTCCAGGAAGGATGACTGCTCGAGAACAGAAATATCCACCACATAGTCTCCTATGGCTGCGCCAACCCGTCTCTCGGCCTGTCAGAGTCAGTACTTGTTTCAGAGGCCATGCATTGTCCTTAATAAGGACCAGTCAGGTTTTAAAGGGGTAGGCAGACGAACATTGTCCACCGTGCTAAAAATGCCAAAGGGTATGTGCGCCAAGGTAAAGGGGCAACCCGGAGGGACTGGAACAGGATGTGGCACCATTTTTGACGAGTAGTGGATGCGCAGGGGCTTAGCAAGTTCGGCTCGCACTCCTTAATGCACCACCACCACTAGGGGAACCAGACAGCAAGAGCTGCTATTAAGAGATTAAGAGATGCACGGCGCGGAAGACCAAGCAAGGGGGCGTTCGGCCGAGGGCGCGAAACTGCCGGCCCGAACTCTCGAGGCCGACTGCCCCAGATGTGGAGAAAACAGCCCCAGTGCTCCGCACACTTCTCCGCATGCGGGGATGAGTTCGGTCCGAACATCCCCGGGCCAGCCACCCTCTCGCGCATCGAAGTTCAGACACGTCGGAGACAAGCCAGTGGCTTCTTGACGCATGTGACCTGGCAAAAAGCGCTACGACTCACTTGTCTCGACTAACTGTCACTGTCTACCTTAGCTCCCCCCGTCTATTGGAAGCACACCTTTCGAGCACAACAATAAGAAATTCCACCACAACGACGACGCTGTCACTCCGGTCTCGAAGCCTCCCTTCCCACAACCCCAAGGACTCAACCTCGCCCACCATGGCCTCTCCCGGGAGTGATTTCCAAAGCGGCCTGCCGAAAGCGCGCCGCTTCATCACAACTCACGACGACAATGGAAAGGCTGTCTACTCTGAAACCCTCCCCGAGACCGTCCCATTCTGGCCTGTCGGGCCTCGAGACGAGCCCGCGGCCTTTGGACTCGTCTACGCCACCACCTCGACGCCGATCCCGCTGATGAGGGACGAGGACCTCTCGACGTTCCAGCACATCGACGAGCAGCGCACCCGGGGCGGTCTCGTCCACCGTGGAGGGTCGGCGATCCGCTACGTCGACTACCCGCCCAAGGCGTCCTCGCCCATGCACCGCACCGTCAGCTGTGACTACGCCGTCGTGCTCTTCGGCCAGGTCAGCTGCCGGCTGGACTCAGGCGAGACGCGCACGCTCAACGCGGGCGACGTCCTCGTCCAGAGAGGCACCATGCACCAGTGGGTCAACCTCAGCGACACGTGGTCCCGGATGCTCTACGTCCTGCTCGACTCCACGCCCGTCGAGTCGGGTGGCGTGGTCCTGGAAGAGGACCTCGGCGGCATGCAAGGGGTGCCCGGGTCTCACTGACGGGGGTCGCCATCTTTGGTTGAGACCGTCACCCAGTTGATCTGTACAGTAGTGTTGTTCATCCGAGGGCGGGGGGCTGTAGACGAGAGAAAGTCCATCATTGTTTTCATGTTTTCATGAGAAAGCGGTTGCGGAGTGACATGTAGGGTCCTACGTGGGTACCAGGATTATTGCAGAATCAAAACGGCCACCGATTCCGGAGCATTGATTATGGAAGCCTGGAGATCTTCTTTAACACTAGACCATCATCTAATGTAGAAAAGAAACAAAGAAAGATGGAAACCACTACTCTACGTTCATAATAGACAAAACGTGATAACACTACGCGGCAAAAAAGGAAACACGGCAGTTTAGAGCTCCAGAGGTCGTACTGGCCAAGGTTCCGAAGCTGGATTCCGCCGTTCCGGTTTCCGTGCGGAGGAGAGAGGTCGGGGATGGGGGTAGGGGTAGGGCCGGGCGTTTCGGGCCACTTCCGGGGCCTCGAGGACGACGACGGGCCTTCCGGTCTCGTGCTGCGGGGCATCCGGCCTGCAGAGCTACCCTACCCCAAGGAAGTACATATGTTATGTATGCCAATGTGACATTGTTGTGGCTACCGTAAAGTAAGTACGCGTCAGGTACACGTACATTTTGATCCAGGCAAACACAGGTGGCATTAGATACTTGCCATGCCGCCCCCCCACCCCCCGCTGCGGACGCTATACGTACGACTCATGGGTGACGAGAACCTCGCGACACGGGGCGCTTAGACTCGACGGCTAAAAAACCATTGGCATCCGTATCTTATGAGGGCTTGCTTGCGAACCTGTGTGGCTGACGTATCCCCCGTGTAAGGTTTTCTTTTACCCTGGACAAACTACTGATGTGTAAGAGCTTCCAAGGTTGTTGTTCCCTCGGTTAATAGGCACTTCTAGATCGTGTTCCTCAGAGCTAGCTGCGATGGCTCCGCGCGATGCTGGTTCGCTCCCATCTCGCTTACCGACGACGGCCACATCGTAAGCAGGGATACTGGTATAGTGAGGCGATCTGCCTGACTCGACGGGCCATCAGGCAGACAAATTATCCGTGTTGGCTGGCCGTGGCCATGTGCAAAAGCCGTGGATGTTCTTCAGTATGACTGGCGGGCGGTGAAAATCCGGTGTCTGTTTTTTGTACGCGTCTCTTTCGTCTCTATCCCTTCAGGATCACGTTGTGCCACAAGTCGCAGTGGCCCCAGAGGCTGATTCAACTAATGTTCGCAGCGGACCGATGCGACCAGCATCAGGTGGTGTATCTGAATCCAATCTGCGCCGACTGAGTCAAGACAGGGATGAAGCGAAGCATTTTGGAGGATCATGAGATGGCTAGGAGCAGATCACGAACGAAACGGCAGCGTATGGGAGCTTGAGGACGAACCACAGTGTAAAAGAGGGAAAGAAAAAAATGAAAAATGAAAAAATGAAAAGAAAAGCGCTAAAGAAGCATAAAGAATGACGAAAACAATCACACCCCAAAGTCAAGTGAGACTTCACTTATCATCGGCAACAGTCGCTTTGGCGCAACGTCCCGAATCTCGAGGACAAATTCCCGGGAGGAGCGTCAAGCCATGCCATGCCATGCCGTGCCATGCATTGTTGGACTGGGCTGCAACCGTTTTGTGCTCCGTCCAGTCAAGTCCTCGCAGTGCAGGGGGACGCAGCTGGGCCGGTGTAGGTTCGAGTCATTAATGGGCCTACGGCAGACTCGTCCTTGGTGTATCTCCGTGGGGGCAACCACCGAGCAGGAGTCACAAAATCACTCTCGGATAACTTAAGTGCCATCTGATGTATGCTATGGTATCCCTACAGGAGCAGGACCCCCGCTCGCCAAGGCCGTTTGCCCCTGGTCGCGAAACACATATTATGAGTAGTGTCAAGTACGGAGTACTTAAGCTCAACCAAGCCCGACGGAGAATGCGCGTCACCGCAGCAGCAGGGGTTTTCTGCTCGGGGGTGGCTCCGCTCGGTGTGGTCAGGTCAACAAGTCAAGGGGCCGGTGCACTGGACAACTCTTAATACGCGCAAATATCGCTCAGGATAGACGTCACGACTTGTCTTGGTCCGCAGCGGATATGTTAAGTCCACGTGGGACCGGGCATCCCTGCTGGTTTGCCTGGTGCTTGACCCGAGCCCTTGGACTCAAGGGCGACGGTGTGCCGGTATGGCCTGCGCAGTAAAACGACTCACCTGAAGGTGCCGACCGTGACGCGGCACAAACACCGTGGTGTCCTGCCTTACGCAAGACTGATGACCTCTCCGGAGCCCGTTCTTGAACCGTTTTGAGCGGGGATGTTCTAGAAACAATTTCGAAAATTTCCCACTGGTGGAGGAGGTATCGGATAGTGCCCCGAGAACACCTATATCAGAGGGTGTTATAGCTTATGAGTGCACGCCGCAGGGGTCTCTCACCTATTTTAATCTTACGGGTTAAGAAGCGCGCGCGACTCCTCTGAGTGAGTGTTGGCAGTGCAGATGGCGATCATGTCTTATGCCTAGCCTTGGCGGTATCACCAGACGGTGAAGAGCGCACTTGCGCTCCCGAGGCATTGTCTCGCGCCTCTCAAGCTCGCTGAGCGCATAGCACCGAGCAGGCGATTGCCAGCAAGGCAATTGCACACGTTCCGAGTTGGTTCCTGAGTCATACGTGCTTTAGTGTTTGGTGGTACAAGAGACGAGGGTCGCATTCTCGACACTCCTGCGTCGTCCCCACATGGCTCGTTGGAGATATATTGAGCATGCTCTGTGCTCGGCCTGCTCGACATCTACTTTGAGAGGCTCTACAACGCCCACCTGCTCTTCCGCAAGCCGCCTTTGTTCGCAGCCTACCTCGACGGGCGGCTGCCCCCGTATCTCCTCAAGGCCATCTTTGCCGTGGCAACAATGTGAGCTCTGCCCCTCTGTCTCTGTCTCTTCCTGTCTCTCTCTCCTCGCACTTGGATCGAGTCGCGTGCTCATGATGGCAAGCCAGCTTCGTCCAAGCGCTGAGGTCCCGGCCCGCATCATCTCGCATCCCCAGCTTCCGCATCCCTCCCGAGCTGGCCACGTTTGAGCCATATGCCAGACATGGCCACGCCTGGGCCACCTCGGCGGCGGCCGAGGTCTTGTCGCTTGCCGACTGCCCCACGGTCGAGTCTGTCCAAACCCTCTGGTGTCTAGGCATCTACTGGTTCGCTATGTCGGACACGCCTAGAGTCGACATCACAATGGGTGAGTCGCAGCCCTCCTGTCTGTCTTCATGCCTTGCCCTTGGCAGCATTGAGATCGAGTTCCCCAGCTAAAAGAGGGAATATCATCATCGGCACGCCACGTTAAGCCATTGCATATGCGTCATGTGCCAATTTCCAGCCCCCCAACAGCTTCTCGACCCCGACCCAGCGCAGCAGCGGCAGCAGCGGATGCGGCAGGGCCAATAACGACGCACAACTGGAGAGCATGCGCTGCTGCTTCTGGGCCTGCTGGTCGTCCATGTGCACGGCGGCCATCCCGGATGCTTACGCGCGCAACGCGTGGCAAGAAGCTGCCGGCGTGCCCCTTCCAACAAGCACCGATCCTGGCGGCCCCCGCGAGTACATGGACAAAGGCTGGCAGTGCCTGCCCATTGGCGGGTGGCGACCGGGCGAGGAGGCGACTACGACATACGACACCATTGACGCGGCGTTTCTCAAGCTGATTGGCATCTGGTAAGCCATTCATCCCATCCGGCCGGTAGTGCTTTGTGTGTGTACCAGATTGCTCACAAAAATCCTTGCTGATGTTGCTTTCTTCTTCTTTTCAGGGCGCGGGTGCAGATCCTCGTGAGGCATTCCTCGACGCCTCCAGACGTTGCCCAGTTTGAGGCGCTGACTGCCAAAACACAAGACGTGTACAGCGCAGCCTCTTTTCCAGCGGCCCGCCCGCGATCCGGTGGCACTGCAGACTCCTCGGACCACGCCAGGCTGGTGGGCTTGCACTCGCTCTACCACCTCTGCCGCATGGTCCTGCTGTGCCCCCTCGTGGCCATGTTCTCCGGGCACCAGCATCAGCAGCAGCACCAGCAGCCAAGCGCCGCCGCCGCCGCGCACACCGTGCGATCCAAGGCAGAGACGGCAGTCGAGCACGCGCTCGCGCAGCACCGGCTGGTCCGGGAGTACGCGGCGGCGGCGGCCGGGGGCGACGCCACGCGCATCAGCCCGCTGACTCTGTTTGCGAGCTTCGTCTCCACGTCGATCCTGCCGACCGCGGCCAAGCCGGAGGTCTCTTCTCATCCGCAGCCGCCGCCGCCGCCGTCGTCGTCGTCGTCGCCTTGCGCTGCTCCTGCTGCTGGTGATGGTGGAGTCATCAGTAATAGTCTGGCCCAGGTCCTGCTGATTGCCGAGGGCACCTTGTACCTGCTCGAAACTCTGCAGACCTTCTGGAAGCCCCTGGAACCTCTTGTACGTTGTGCCTTCCCTTCCGTTTTTGTTTTGTCACTTTTGCTCTCTTGTTAGAGCTGACGCTTATGCACACAGGCTGCAGAGCTGCGCCGCAGACTGCTAGGTTTCCCGGCCCCGTCGAGCCTCGCCGAGACGCACATCCCGAGCCCGTCGACCGGGCAGTTGAGGATATCGCTAACCCGGGCCAACAGCCCCGGCCAGGGCGCTGGGGCAATCGAGACGACGTACGTGAGGGAGCAGGCGCGAGAGCAGGAGCCACGGCAGTGGCAGCAAGAGCGGGGCCGGTGCGGGTCGGGGCTAGCCGGTCATCAGGACACCTCGTCGGCGCTTCTCGGGTTTGTGCCGCAAGAGGCGCAGAGGGCCCAGCAGCAGCAGCAGGACCCCGGGCTCAGACTGCTGGAGGACTCACAGCTCGGTTATGACACCATGCTGGACTTGCAGCTCACGTCTGATGGGTGGGACATGGAGCTCTTGTCCTTTTGTCCTACCAATTTTGTCTGATACGGGTGTATATGTGTATAATTTCAGACCCACTGCACATACATACAAACATACATACAAACATACATAACGTAATCCACGGGTCAGTGAGCCACACGGGTCAGTGAGCCACTTTCCCCCCATTTTGAATAGACAACCTTCATTTCCTTATTTCTCCACCAACAATTATGGTACGACAATCAAATGAAAGCGATTTAGTTCTCGCGCTAAATGCGCTTCAATCCGACCCAGAATTAAGCGTACGAAAGGCTGCATTACTCTATAACGTATCCCGCGCAACCCTCCAACGACGACGAGACGGCCGAGCTGCGAAACGCGATACCCGACCACCCTACCAGAAATTGACCTCGTACGAAGAGGACAGCATTAGTCGATACATAATTGACCTAGATTCGCGATCGTTTCCGCCGCGGTTAAGTGGTATTCGAGAAATGGCGGATCGACTCCTCCGCGAACGCGACGCGCTACGCGTTAGAACGAACTGGGCCTCAACCTTCGTACGACGACGACCAGAGCTCCGTACGCGTTTTAATCGAAGAATCGACTACCAGAGGGTCCTCTACGAGGATCCGGACGCGTATCGAGGGTGGTTTAAGCTCGTACGAAACATAATCGCGAAATACGGGATCCACGATAACAATATCTACAACTTCGACGAAACGGGCTTCGCGATAGGTAAGATCTCCGCCGAAACTATCGTTACGACCTCTAATCGACGCGGGAGGCTAAGAGCCGTATAACAAGGCAATCAGGAATGGGTTACAGTAATCCAGGGTATCGCGTCGTACGGCTATTCCATCCTACCATATATTATCTTCGCGGGGAAGGTCCACCTCGACTCCTGGACCGCGAATAGCCCTCTACCGGCCGACTGGGTAATCGCGCTTTTAGAGAACGGCTGGACGACGAACGAGAGAGGTCTAGAATGGGTAAAACACTTCGATTTCTATACGAAGCGTCGTATAAAGGGTACCTACCGCCTCCTTATCCTCGACGGCTACGAGAGCTACCATTCCGTCGATTTCGAGCTCTACTGTAAGGAATAGAATATTATAACGCTCTGTATGCCTGCCCATTCATCACATAAGCTCCAGCCTCTCGATGTTGGGTGCTTTAGACCTCTGAAACGGGCGTACGGTAAAGAAGTCGAGGGTCTAATACAGGCGTATATTACGCACATCGCAAAGGACTTCCTCCCAGCCTTTTATAAGACGTATAATACTGCAATAACTACGCCAAACGTCCAAGCAGGCTTCGAGCGACTGGCCTAGTACCGTACGACCCGAATTATATAATTTCACAGCTAGATATAAAGCTTCGGACGCCAATACCGCCCGGGTCCTCTGCCGGCTTACCGCTACCCTAGATCTCGAGGACGCTAAATAACGCGATCGAGGCCGAATCACAGACTGAATATATTAAGAATCGTATCGTACGACATTAAGAAAGCTCTCCTTCATCAATAATTGCAAGCTTATAGTAGCTAAATAAAGGAGTGTTAATGATAGTACATAAACAGGCCCTTATGGAGAGCGACCTGGCCGAACTTCGAGCCGTAAATAGCCGCCTAAGCCGCCGTCGACGTACTAAAAGAAAGCAGCTACAGAAAGGAGGGTTACTAACGATTAGCCAGGCAAAGGATTTGAAGTCTCAGATCGACGTGACGGAGCAGTTACGGGTAGAAATAAGTCAAAATAGTGGTCGCGCGAGGAGGACAGAGACGCGCGCGCGACGCTGTAGCGTTTGCGGCGAGCCCGGCATAATGCTCGTACGTGTCAGATAGTTGAGTCTACCTCTGAAGAAGAGGATTTTGAATTGATTTAAGGCGTTCTGGTTGATTTTTTCTATACATTGTCGTCCGAATATCTTAAGGGTGGCCCGCTCGACCGGGTGGCCCGCTTGACCGGGATCTACGTTATACATACAATACAAACATATAAAACAAAGATCACACACAATTGAGGGCCATTGATCACTCATGAAGCTGGCATAAGGGAATGAATAAATATACATGCATGCAACTTGAATAAACTATACTAATGACCACGTGACCTAGAGAGGCTCCCCCCGGAGCAGTTTGAGCCACCTCACGCGGGCCTCAGTCAGGTCGCACGTTGCCGCGAGGGCATTGAGCTCAGCGCCGCGGCGGCTGATGTCGTCCCTGAGCTTGGAGGTGTCTGCGACGAGCTTGCCTCCCGACTTGCGGACGACGCCGTCGACGATGACGGTGTCAATGTGGGCCGGGGAGGTGTGAAAGACGACGGCGCCGACGGGGTCCGTGACCGGGAGGGTCTCGAGGTCGTCGCAGGCGACGAGGGCGAGGTCAGCTTTTTTGCCGACCTCGAGGGTGCCGACGAGGTGGTCGAGCTGCAGCACGCGGGCGCCGCCGAGGGTGCCCATGTGCAGGACCTCTGCCGTCTTGCGGGCCACGACGGTCGGGAGCCCCCCGCCGTGCTCGTTCTGCAAGGCGCGCTGGACCTGGATGGCCAGGCGCATCTGCGCGACGAAATCATTGCCCTGGTTGGATGTGATGTCGATGCCCAGGCAAGCGTTGCAGCCGGCGTCGCGGGCGCGGAAGACGACGGGGAAGCCCATGCCCATCTGCAGCTCCGTGTCGGGCGTGCCGACGATGCCCGCGCCGGATGCCCGGATGGCTGCCAGCTCGCCGTCGGTGAAGGAGGCGCCGTGGCTGAAGACGAGGTCGGGCCCCAGGACGCCCGCGTCGGCGAGCTGCTGGACAATGTGCCGCCGGGCGCCGTCGCAGGGGCCCATGGCGACGTGCATCGTGATGAGGCGGGCGCCCAGCTCGCGGGCCTCGGCAATCTCGCGCACCGTCTTTTCCGTGGGCTGCGACTCGGGTTCGTCGGGCGACACGCCAAACGTCACGAGCTCGCGCTCCGGGTCGTTGGAGCCAAAGTGGGCGGCCCGGACGCGTGCGGCGTCGGCGAGCCGGGCCTCGTGCGTAAAGGCCGGGTCGTACGAGCTTGGGGCGGCCGCGAGGCTGCCGGAGCCGGAGCCGGAGCCAGAGCCGTCTGCGGGCCCGGCGGTGACGGGGGGGTTCTGGTAGAAGCCGTAGGCAAAAGTGGCGCGGATGCCGGCGTCCTTGAGGGCGCGGACGGCGGCGTCGGCGTGGGCGGGCGAGTTGATGATGTGGCAGTGCTCGAGGACCGAGGTGACGCCGTTGCTGAGCAGGCTGAGGGCGGCGGTGTGGGTGGCGAGGTAGACGTCGTCGGGCGTGAAGAGGCTGCCGAAGATGCTGCGCATGTGCACCGTGTAGTCGAAGAGCGTCCAGTCGGTCGCCGCGCCCCGGAGCAGCTGCTGCCACATGTGGTGGTGGCCGTCGACAAAGCCCGGCACCGCAATGCACCCGGGCACCCGCACCGTCGTCACGGGGCCGTCCGCCGGCGCCGCCAGGTCGCGTCCGATGGCCACGATCAGGTCGTCCCGGACGAGGATGTCGTGGTGCGCCAACGGGCTCGTGCCCGCCTCGGCAATGACGGTCGCGTCCTTGATGAGGATGTAGCTTGCAGGTTTGGCCATGGCGGCTGTATGTCTGTCTGCCAGTCCTGGTCCGTCCTGGTCTGTCCTGGTCTGTCTTGCACCGCGAGCCTCCTCCCCTTGTACTTATCCTCGCGTGGGGACCCCGTTCGGCCCGAAGGCTTCCCCGCACTCCGGGCGCATAGTTCGGTTTGGGGTAAGCCGGAGTCGGTCGGGGTCCCAGAACAACGTGGGGAAACGTGGAGATCAAGCTCCTCACTAGGCCACACTGGGCAACAATCCTATTGCAGACACGGAAAGACTTGGTGCAATCTTTCCCTGGGCAGTGGAATCTGCCATCGGATCACCGAGGCTGCGGATTGCGTGATAAAGAAGATACTGTCCAGCCAGCCGGGCAAGATCCTCGATATTAAGGACGTCTTCAACTGCTACACGGGCGACGTCATCTCCCGTTACGTTTTTGGCCAGAGCATGGGCTTCATCGACCAGGAGGGCTGGACGCCCAACTTTGCAACCTGGGTCAAGTCGTTTCTGCAGTCGGCCTACATGATGCGGCATAATGTGGTAGCTCGCAAGCTGGCGCAATACATCCCGCTCATGGCGGACTACATGGGTGAGGATATCGCCACTGTTATGAAGCAGATGAATGTCGTCATTCCGGGGTACATCCAGGCTGCACTAGACGACCCGGACAACGGGCGCGTGTTTGCCGAGGTCCTGCAGAACAAGAGTCTTCCAGATCAATACAAGGACATGTTCCACCTGTCTGGAGAAGGGTTCAATTTTCTGCTAGCAGGGACAGAGACTACTGCAGTAAGCATCGCCATCATCTCCCATTTCTTTCTCCGCTATCTTCACCTCCGGTTGACGGACTGACCCGGTGTTAGGCCATTCTCACCGTCATCACACACCATCTCCTCGCTCAGCCAGCCATCTACAAGCGGCTTATGCAGACTCTTGGTGACACCTCTTCCTCCACGCCGGAATGGTCCCACCTCGAGAACAACCCTTACTTCTGGGCCATCGTGCAAGAATCTCTGCGCATCATGCCGGGCGTCTCGCACCGCTCCGCGCGCATTGCCAGGGATGAAGATCTGCACTACAAGAACGCGGCTGGCGACATCGTCCACATCATCCCGCGTGGCACCCCAATCGGGATGTCCTCGGTGATCAACCACATGGATCCTAGTCTTTTTCACGACCCGGAGGCGTTCAAGCCCGAGAGGTGGCTGCTGGAAGATGGGTCACCAAACCACAAGCTTAAAAATTACTTGCTGGCGTTTGGCCGGGGGAGTCGGGCTTGTATTAGCGAAAAGTAAGTCCATTGACTCTGATTGTGTGCTTAAAAAGGCTGACTCGACCCCTCCAGGCTCGCGAACTGCGAGATTTACACACTGGCCGTGCGAATGGCGTCGCGGGTTATCCCACGCGCCACGCTGCACGAGCCTGGCAACCCGGCTGAGCATTTTAAGTACGATCACGACATGATTGTGCTGCAGACCAAGAACGGTCCCATTAGCTGCAAAATAAGCATCTGCTAAGCACTTCGCGTTCGAGCTTGTACCGTACTTCACGCCTGGTCTCGCTCAAGTCAACAAGCGACTATAAAAAGTAAGGGGCGAGTGACAGAGCACAAAGTGTAGACGGCCATTGCTAGGGCAACTTGACTGAGCAGTATAAGACCTAGGCAACGGAGGTCACACGATGATGGTGTCGCGCGATCGCTTCTAGATAATTACCCTATATATTGTATCGAGTAACAATTCTATCTTGATCTGCCCATGCTATCGCCGCCAAAGGTTGTCCATGAAACACTTCTAGCATTGCGATGCTCGCCGAGAGTCTTGAGAACATGATTGAGCAGAACACTTGTTTGCACTACTTTAAATGTTATACTGAATCCTTCTCGTTTCATGTTCATATACGAGATGAAAGCATGATTATTGTACCTGGCTTTAAAGCATTGCTAAAGTTAGTGGTTAATCCGGACTTACCCGAGATGTACCTGCATTCCATTCATGTCTTGAAAGCTCCATCGAGCATATCCGATCTTTCCAATCGCCTGTTCAATGTCTGGCCGCTCAAGCGCCCGGAAATCTTGTCAGTACTGGGTGGCACGGTCGGCTACCTGCCTCGGTGACGGAGCCTCATTCGTCACTATGGGTTCCTATCTTCTAGGGGCACGTTGGCAAGTTCTACTTCATTATTCCTGTGTCGATGCGGGACGACACGTATAGCAAGGTAGCCGGGCTCAGGACGGAGTGACTACGACGTATGGGATGCTTAACGGAAATATATATTAGAGCCCCCCTACGCCCCATACCCCTTGGGAGGTCAACCATTGTCTGCCCAGGCGTTACACATATTAATCGAAGAGTTACAATCCAGGAATAATCTCCGAAATTCCTGCATTGGTGCTCCGATTGAAACTAGGCAAGCGTGAAAGATATGCTGGCATAAATCGGACCCCATAACAAAGGTTCGTAACGCGTGGAGCGTGGAGGACTAACGAGATATGGAGCTACGATAAGGCTTACCTATGTAGATATGCAGATGGTTCGTTCGCATTACGCCTCCGTCAGGCGCTATTAACCATCCTCTATTACGGTAGCTTCTGCTATCAAGCTCGTAGATGAGAAAATATGTACAAGTAGATAAGTTCTGGGTAGTTTTCCGCAATACTACAACCCAGTTTTGACCTATACAGACATGCTATATTCCTTGGCTCAAACTATCATACTCTGGTCAGATAACCATATACACATCGCAGTCAGGATGGAGATCAAGCCAATGATTACTGACTTCCTGATGCCATTCTAGGTATTTATGGTATCCTACAGGCCCGTGCACAAAGTTTATGTCGTAAGCTGCCTCAGCGTTTAGAAAAGGGTCACCGTGAGTTGGCCACGTTTGGGGATTATGATTCCAACCATCATTGTCGGCAATGGACTTGCATTTACTAGTCCAATCATTGACCTTCTGCGTCGAGTTCCCGCTATGTGCAGTCGCCACCACCCCATACCGCCGGCCGATTTCGTCCCAACTACTGTACCAACGGACCCACAGAGTGTATTTGTCGAACGACATCGGATCGTTTACGGCATTGTTGAAATACTCGTTGTTGTGCGATGGGTTAGGACGAACAATGGCGGAGGTTGTCTTTGAATATACCAGGAGAGCAACAATGAGATGGCCAGATGGGCTTTTCATTATTTAGATGTGCCAGTTTCACATATGCCTTCGTGGTAATGGATAGACTAACCAAAGTCTTTAGCGGATGGTAGAGAATTGATGCATATATAGCCAAGCACAAGACCATATGCTATAATACCTCGAGGTGTTGACGTAAACAGCCGCTAAAGAAGCCTGGCCGTGTCACAACTCGCGCACTGCGAGATTTACATCATGGCTACGCTCGTGGCGTTGCAGGTCGTCCCACGCGCTAAGCCTTATGAAGCGAACAGTCCCGACCATTTTAAGTACGATAACGATATGAAAGTATTGCAGACTGAGAAGGGATCCATCAGTTGTAAGATGGATACTAGCTAAAGGTGCGTCGAGGAGTATAAGAAGAAGGAGAAGAAGGAGAAGGAAGGAAAAGGGAAAGCCCATATACCTAAGACAATGAAAAAGATTCAATTGTACCCGTCAGCAGATCGTATCGTGACACTCCTGCGACAACTTCATGCCAATTGGCCTTGTTAATAGACGGGAATCTCGAAGTAAGAACACCGCCTACCGTTACACTGCCAGAATTCTCATTGTTCGACTCATACCCGTACCTTTGGGCCGCCTCCACAGAGTCCTTGTCGATCGTGACCCCGTCGGAGACTTTAACGGCGTAAGTATCGTCAGTCACGTTGTGTGCTACGACGATGCCGAAGTCCGTGGGTCGATCAATGCCCTTCACCTGAATGTAGTTCTCGATGGCCACTACAAAGGTGTTCATCGTCTCTCCGGAGGCAGGAGTAGCCTGTCCAGTTTGAGGGCCAATCGAAAGCCCCGGCGAACTGGATAGACGCCGGAAGGGTTCACGAGGTCGACGGTAAAGAAGTCATCCCATCGTCCGAGGTCGAGCAGCAGACGGTCCAGGAGAACAGCGAGGAGGATATCTATGACGTAGTCGAGATTGACGACGACCGAGGCAGGCCAAGTCGTATCTATTTCGGATTCCACCGGGCTACCGGACGATTCTCAATCTGAGGAGTATATAACATGTACGTTGGATCATTTCAGTGGAAAATAGATGAATAGACCTCGCCGCGGGACCCACGTACTAGTTAGTGGGCGTTCGCATCCTCGACATACTGGCAGTGCTGCCACGCCAGCCTCCGGCGCTGACCGAGTGGCCACGCCGGCCTCCCTGAACACACGAATCAGTTCCTCGAAATTGATCCCTTCCAATACCGAGTCCGACCTTTATCGCCTTCGGCACAATGGTGGGACCCCTGCTGGCTAGGTGCATGTCCCCTCAGGGCTCCGAGATCAGCCTGTCGTCCAGTATATGAAATGCCGGCGTCAGGCGCCCGGCGGCTAGGTGGTGAGCCTGGTTCGTTCACAGGGGTGCATGAACACGGACAAGCGTCGCGGCTGTTGACATTCTACCTATTTATTCAGAAGACACTCCTGGCGCTGCGCCGTCTGCGCGAGGCGGTGGCCACCGATGACTTCTCAAGTACGCCCGTGTGCGCTGCTTGACCCTCCTGAATACTACTCTGTGGCCTCGGACAAACACGTAACAGAATAAAGGAGACCAGAATGCGTTTCCAGAAGAATAAAAAAACAGCAGCAATAACCTACGCTATGAAGGACAAGCCCGCCTCAAGTATGACTACTCTGCGGTGTGACCGGGTCATGCCTCTGCTTCTTCGCTGCGGGCACGCTGGTATTGCTGTCGGCCTCATCGCTTGGCTGCTCTGCACCGGCGTGGCGAAATCATTGCCTGGTGCGCTATCGGTCTCATTCTCCGGGGTGGAGGTTATCAAGTGCAGTCCTTTAGCCGCTGGGAGGTACTCCTAGAACTCCCCCTTAGGCGGAGTGATGAGTGCCACGAAGTACGGCAAGAACTTGGCTTTCGCCCACGCCTCGTCGATCTTGCGTAGGAACCTGGCGAGAGTGATTACGCCGCTGGGCTCGTCCGACGTCAAAGACCGACGCCGTATAGAGACATGTCTAATTGCGGTCCTCCTTCTGAACTCCTTCTGCTCGGTGGGAGCACATCACGTAGGCCGTCTAACTCACGCCCTTGACCGAGATGCAGGGGATTTACGTCAGCTGCGACACCGGCGGATGCCGACTTCTCTACTTTCGCATCATCTCCAGCAGGCGCAGTGTCATCTAAAGGCCGTGTTGCCACGCCTCGAGCCACCATTCGGATTTATTCTGTCCTGTGATGCCCGTATTGTACTTGATACCGAGCATAGGCATCCAGCCGACCTTCCCGCCTTCCTCTGACAGCAGTACGAGGTTAAGACGCTTCTCGGGGAGCAGCCGGGACAGCTGGTGAATGTGCCGCTGCAGGATATGGTCATTCTCCATGCGGAGTGTGCGCGAGCCCAGCCGCCAGACGTTCTCTTTCTGGCCCTCTGTCATATCTGTCTCAACCCGAGCACGCATCATATTGTCGCGTACATCTTCTATTGTCTTGCGGTGCACGTTGGCGTAGTCGGCGTCGCACATGTCATATCGGGGGTGTTGTATCAGGTGAAAGCTGTTGCCGATCACGCCATGGATGATGCGAGCACCCAGCACTTGGCTTGCACAGTTCTCGGAGGCCCTCTCTAGTACTCGCCGGTTGACAGCCTGCGGCCAGTCCTCTTCGAAGTAACCGGTCCTCATATGGCTCACCGACGCGACGATGGTCACGAGAATCTCGGGAGGCAGCATCCAGGAACGGTCCTCGCCGGAAAGCGGCGAGCGCACCTTCTCCGCCACGCTAATCACTCTTCGTGTGTCCATGTCTGAGCGGCCGAAGTCCGTCTTGCATTCCCGGATCTTCTTAAACTGCTTCCACTAGTTTTTCTTATCCCCCTCCCCCAGATGTGCTCCTGGGGCTGGGGGGTGGGTACGAAATTCTGGAACTCTACGGTGGCCAATCTGGCCTCATTAGAGAGAATCCTTTTTCCGTGCAGCTCTCCCTGCCGCTCCCTTCAAGGCCAGGTCTCGTGCCTAGTAAAGGAGGCTTCCCGTTGCCGTGGTTATGGGAATCCGTCCCGGTAGTGAGGTGACCATGAGTTGAATGTGAGTTAGTGAAGCTCTGCTCGGAGTTGACAGCGGTAATTTACCATATAGTAGCACAGCCGAAACTGGAGAGAAGGCCAACAGGGACCACATCGCAGCCTCCATGGAAGCTTAAATGCGGACAGGGCTGGTGTTACGAACTGCGCAGCAGGTATGCCTCGCCAGGCATCATACACACCGGTCACTAGCGAGTCTGGCAGCTCATGCCAGCTACCAACGGCAAGAACAGGCAAAGTCCCTACAGGTCCGCACACGGGCAGCCCGAACGCCAACTCTTGCTGGCAAACGGCCTCAAAGCAGCAGGCAACGACGGACGGCCGCTAGCGCGGAAACATGCCCAACACAACCCCCCGGCAGACACAAAGCATGAGCCGAACCCAGAATGGACTGCGCGAGACGGGCAGCGCAGCGCTGAGCCGGTAGCAGGTGAGCGTCATAGACAGCATGCCGCCCGAGATCAAGGTCGAGATCATCAAGGCCTGTCGGCGCGAGGATCGAACGAGCCTCTGTCGCGTATCAAGGCTCTGGAGCACTGCTTCCCGCGATATCATATGGCGCCGCGTATCAAAAGGCGGCGACGGAGCTACTGGGCTCGACGTGTCAGACCTCATCAGTCTACTCCGCCACCTGATTCAACATGAGCACCTCTCGGCTCTGATCAGGGAGCTACACGTGTCTGCTCAAGTGCAAGACGAGATCGACATTAGGAACAGAGTGCTCCTTAACTAACGAGATCAGACCCAAGACAAAGTCCTCGACTTCATCGGCCGTACCTATCCGACTGAACATCGCGAAAGAGTCACAGCCAGATTGCGACACCAATCCTGTGATACATCAATGCTACTCATGTTAATACTCTATTACACCCCTCCGCTGCAGGCACTCTGGCTCGGCCGTGTCACTGCACGATGGGGAAATGCTTTCTTGGTTTTCCACGAACTTCCGAGAGGCACGACTGTATCAGGCACTAGCATACGTAACAGCGTCTTCCCACTGAGGACGCCAATGCTACAGAATCTGAAGCGGATCACGATCGAGTGTAATGCGAGGATCGAATACACCCCACAGCATGATGGCTGCGCGGCCGCACTGGCACGAACGAGACTGTTAGGCAGCACGGCAACTTCTCATATGAGATCCAGCACGACGGCACGGCACATATCTGCGCGCCCGCGATGCCGCCAGCAGTCGTTCTCAGGCCACAGTTATTTGTTCTGACACGCATCAGCATTTGTGTGAGGCCAAGAATACACATGGACGGTTGGAGGGCGCTCGAGAGATTACTCTGCCGCCATAATACACTCCGCAGCCTCACGCTGACCATCGGGGATGATGCTTACGCCAGACGCGGTACTAGGCATGTAGGCGTCAAGATGGATCTCCCAATGCTAGGAAGCACACTTCTACAATGTGGACAGGACCTGGAGTCACTAGCAATACGAACGAGCAGCGAGATGACATTCCCAAAATTACGCGAGAGCATCATAGGGGCGATAGGGGATCTAGGTCCTCTCCAAAATCTCAGGTACGTCGACCTCGATCGCCAGCTGCAGCACGGGGGCACAGGCAGCTTCGACCTGGAGTCCCTTAAGCACCTGCCAGCGGAATTGAAACTCGCGACTCTCGGGGTCGTCATAGGCCTGGAGGGCATAGAACAGGGCACGGAGGCTAGTTTCGCAATTCAATGCACTAAAGATATGGCCGAGATAACAAAACGGCTAATCAAGCAGCCCGACTTTGTCCTGCGCCTGCAAGTCCGCCCTCAGTGGGCGGACAACGTTCATCTCTTCGTATGGTCTTACGGGCTCTAGGTGCAGCGCGAAACGGAGAAGATCGTTCGGCTGACCAGATGCACTTCCGATATACCGCTCATCGAAAGAGTAAGCGTATTCACAAGGGCCCAATGAACAATGCGTTAGGACGAGAACGCTCGTTTTTTAAAGGGAACCGGGCATCTCTGGCTAGTAACACTAGGGAGCGGAGATGAAAGTCAGCCAAGACATATGACGAGCCCGGGCAAGGAAGATCTTGAAATACGCGCAGCGGCCCGAGCTGGCACCGTGGTACATGTTTGGAGCTCAGCATATTAAGTATGTTAGAAACTAGTCGAAAAGCGGGCGGGCATGTTGGACAACACCCAGTGGACATGTATGTTACTACACAAAGATAGCGAACCCTACTCTGAGAGGAATTAATCTTCACGCTTATTACTAGCGATACCTTAGGACCCCCAAACGGGATGAGATATGGCGGTGAGTCCTCTACGCACGGTTCCATGGGCAATGATGGAAACAGCCTGCACTCCGCGCTAAGAGAAAACGAGCCGCTGGACACTCTTACCTTCCCAGGCGGCATGACCTCGTCATCCCACAGGGGCAGTCCTTCATCGCATACAGACGTTTCTTCGTTGACCTAGGGTGTGAGGCACGACGTGAGCAAGCTGATGAACCTCGATGCGGATCTGGACGCGGACTGAGATTGTGTGTTCGCTGGCCGCATCCGGTGTTCATCAGCCGGCCAACGTAAACCCAATGCGAAAGCGGACTGATCACGTTCAGTGCCCCGAAAGTCTAGATGGTCGACCCGAAACCGAATCTGGGCAGAGTAGTCTTTGCGACAATCCCATTCGAGCTCCTCGCGAAGGTCATACAACGAAGGTAAAGCTCACTCCATCGCTACCTCTCGTCAGTTTGTGTCCACCCGAACCCCAACATTCTATCACTGCCGCGCCACAATTGCGAACTCCGGTACAGCACTACCTGCCATGTCGACAAGCAACCCCGAAAGTCAGGAGCGCACGTCCGGCGTTCTTCGCCCGTGACCTGTAGTAGTCAAGAGAATACCGTTCTCGCTGCAGGGTGTACAGGTATGCGCATTCAGCCCTTCGACGTTGGTCAGATCAGCTGGGCGATGGGCTTGGGAGGCTGCGAACACATACGTCCTCGACACCCGACAGCACGAATATTGTGACGAGCAGTAGCGCTGGGAAGAATGACATGGCGAGCGATCAAACTGTCGAGGGGCATGTCGAATCCTGCAAAAGTCCGCTGAGAGAGGCTATAGAACCAGGACTTAGCCTGGACCAGCGACAAGCGGGCCGTACTTCCGGGCGACTACTAATCATGACGGTCTCTTCTCAGATTTCGTCGATTATTCTTAGGCGGACCCACCAAGACAAAGTCTCTTGTATTAGGTCGCAAGGCTGCTAGTACTGGCACACCTCAACAGCGCCGCCTTAGACATGGATCCCTTGCAAACCAGTCCGGCAAGGGGACTACCTCCCACTCATCTAAGGTGACAAGGGCCGAGATTCTGGCCCTCCATAGCCCTCAAGGCTGGGTCTTTGTCGCTCCAAGCCGTTTTACCTGTTGTGGGCCTCACTCTGGTAACCACCTCCTTTCGCAGGTTCCAACGGCTGCCATGCCTGACGCGGCTACCACCAGTTTATTCCACTTGCGACCACCTTTTTTCAACATACCCGTCTTCTGAATCTTCACCCTTTTCCACTACGGCTACGTCTTCTGCTTCAATCCTCGCGTCCACTGCTCGTGCCCTCCTATCCATCCATCAGCCGCAACACATACGAAGGCAACCATGCCGTCCGCACGTGCAGAGCGGGATGCTAGTCCGTTGGCCGCCTCCATCTCGACCATTTCTACCAGCACTTTATCTGGCTGGGAGTCTATTTCAATGACAACCAGTCAGCTGCCCGACTGGGTCCAAGCCGCAATGGGGCAGGAGAAACTAGTTCAGCCTTGGAAGCAGCATGCCGGTGCCAGTGAGCGCGACGATCCCGACTTCGCTCAGTCACGCGACACCGTCACCTTCTACGACGACAAGATCAAAGTCTGTTACGGCGAGGGCTCCATGGCCGCTTAGATGGAGGATATGATAAGAGAAAAGTCGAATAGGCCAGAAAAGTAGTCGACTCTGCTCTTGGCTATCACGGCATGCCCTCAATCGCCTTGATATCACCCATTTAGGCTATCAGCCTTTATAGCTGCTCGGTAAATGCTCTGTTGCATATACTCGACATTCCACCATTACAGTCCGGCGACGGGTCGCAGACTGGACTTGTACTGGCCTATTTAGAAGAGACCTTCTCACAAAAAAAAAGCTATCATTGCCAGACCCCTCCCAATCGATGATAGGGAGTTCCTTGCTTTCGGTCTTCCTTTTTTTCTTCTACTTTCGGACGGGATTCATGGCGCGCCTCGACGATGACCGGATTACCACGGGTACCCTATTGCAAGTAATCAATAGGCGAAGACGCCATGTGTCTTAACAAAGCTCTATCATATGAACATCGTAATTGTCCGTTCTTGTGCCCTCCCAGGCTTATTAAGCCTCCCTCACCGATATGCAGCGCTATGATAGTTGTCATAAGAAGCATTATTCTGGCCCAGCTTGAAGCAAGTCTGTACACTGGAAAATTTCTATGGCCCTGCTGAGGGGCAAATATCCCACTCTCCAACCAGACCACAGCACTGCACTCAGGGCAAACCATGAGGCAGATCCGTGACTCGCGGATGGCATGCAGATCGTCGGGCCTGTCTGTATCAAACACGTCGCGCCGTGACTACTTGGTATTTTTGTGCCCACATCGGTGGCAGTGTCGTTATGCTTCAACTTGTTATTGGAGGTGGATGCGTTGTTGTATTGGAACGCTTGAAAATGGACCAGAGACCGCACCCAACGCACCCAGCTTCAGTCTGTCACGGGCCGCGTGTCAGATGACCCTTCGTAGAAGGGCACAATCGTGCCCAGAACTTTTGCTATGGGTACGCCACTCGGTTGGGGAGGCTAACAACCTTGGCTGTTACTGGGTAGGCCTGTCATGACGAGGGTCTCCCTGCAGGCTGTGGGAAGGCGTCCTTGGGCCGCAACAAGGCTACGACACACCTCAACAGTGCTGCCTGAGGCATGGAAGCCCAGCACGTAACTTGCACGTCGGTAAGAAAACTGCTTTTATTTTTGTCTGCCTAGTAATGTGGCCATGCAAAACTGGTCGCCCGTGTTGCTTCGATACTGATCAATTACCGCAATACGACCTAGACATTGAGCAATAACGAACCTCTAGTAGTATTGTCGGGCTCTAAGGGTTTACCGAATCCTCAGTAGTAGGCGGCCGATTCTTCATTTTAGCTGCATGACGAGCAAAAGATGGTGCATATGCAGGGGCACAGCCCGAGCCCAGGCCCCTGTAATGCGCGTTGTCACTCGCATTCTTAACCACGCGAATTACCATCGAACCCGGATTTCTGAAAGTCGGTCGATATCGTCAATCTCCGCCAATTCCGATCCGTGCCATAGAAGACGAACCGAGAACACGCCAATATGCATCCCAGATTCACCGGCAACTCTGGACGGCCGCGCAACGTGAACCTCAGCGGACAACGGCCTTCGAGTCCCTGGGGCTCCAGTAGCTGGGGCGCGAACCCAGGCGCATCATCCGGTGCCTTCAAGACGGTCGCCCATGCTCAAGCAGAAAGGGAGAAGCGCTAGAAGGATCGCGAAGAGCTTGTCGCTACGAAGCGGCTCCAGAGGATATGGAGGGGACACTCCACGAGACAGAAGATTAGAGAAAGACATCGTCGAGCATTTGACAGCGAAATGCAGCGTGCCGGGGGTACCGACCTTGGCCACATCACCAGAGTATTGCCGCTGCTGTTGGCTCTTTTTGACCCGAAGCGAGACGACGACTAGAAGAGGTTAGAATCATTCGTAAACGATCTCGAAGCATACAGAGCACGTAATCGTGAACTCGGAAGCCTCAACCACCACTCTCTCAATCGCCTGGTCGGTCTCATCGTTGCTGCTCTTGAAGGGTAAGATAAACAAGGTTGATTTAGCCTTAGTTAGTTCAACTAACGTACTAAACGCTACAGAAGACCATTCTCTTCCGCCCGTGCGCTCCTACCGCTCTTATCTGAGCTTGTTACAAAACGACCTTGGAGTGTTGGCTCAATCCTCGGCCGCTACTATTATGTTACGGCACGGTACTTTTCGGAGAGCGTGGATCCTGCCGAGCAAGCGGTGCTCTGCGAAGTTGTCCGTGCACCCTTGTCTTCCGGGAAAGGTACGTGTTGAAATCTCGAGTCATAGACTTTATTGAAACCGTGCGCTGACAGGAGCAGCGTCAGATTTAAAATCTGCATACCGTGCGATAGCATTTGACTTCTTGACCATTGACCGCCTTCCTGTAATCAGACAGAACCCAGAGATCCTGTCAACTGTTATAGATCACTGCTTGCTTTCAGATGTCATATCCAAAGCTATCTTGTCTGGCACATCTGCAAACAAAACATCGAGGGACGGTTAGTTATGGCTCCTGGCACATTTCATCGCACTTAGCAGAACATCTGCTGCCGGTTAGGATAACATTTATCTGAGAGCTCTTTACCTTCAACTTTCGAGCCTTGCTGGTGACATCCGTTCACGGTATAACCAGGATGACAGTGGCCATAGCGATCAGATTTCGGACGACGAGGATCTCAAAATGCTTGATACCACATCATCCACATTGCCTGATTTCGTTGCCGAGCAGCTCAAGTTTCTAGTCAACAGCGACGGCATTAGTGAGCTCCTGCGGAGATTCACTACGTGAGTTCAAGCTACCTTATTTGCTTGGGAAATTTCTAGCGGCTGACTCTCTTCGCGATCCAGAACCTCGTCGCCCAGCGTAGGGCCCTCGGAGGACGCTAATTTGCTCGCTGGCTATACGTTGGTGCTGCTTAAGTGCTTTCCCAACTATGGCGACGATATTAAGATTCGGCTCTTTCATGGCGACATTAAGACGAGCAGTTCCGGCAAACAGCAAACTATACCAACCGTGAAGTACTTCTGGCACGCGGCATTAAGGACTGAGATCTTTCGCAAGCTGATGCAGAGCAAGATTACGCATCCTGCCTCAGTTGTAGGTCCCTTGCTGCAGCCGGAATCCAAGCACGACGAGGAGTGGCGCACAATACTATTGTTTCTCGAGCTATATAACTTTCTACTGCGTGTCACGGACGGCGAGGGCTTTCTGCCTTCAACATTCCAGGCGATGCCTCAGCAGAGCCCGGCAACATCACGCATTCGATCCAGTGGGTTGGACCTGGAAGAGCTCAAAGCTCTAACCAGCTTTTTGAAAAATCTCACGTTCCTGTTATATCACGATTTACCAAGCATAATTGCTTCTGCTAAGGAGCCCACGCAACGTGACCCTTTCATGGGGATACAATCCAAGCCTTTAGCTCAATCCGGATCCTCACAAGAGTCCTTATCCCCCACCTTCGGGAATGGCGTTACTAGCCTCCGTCAGAATGCCACTACCACTATGAGATTGCTCCACGAGAGGGATTCGCGCCGAAAGTTTCTGCCGCAAGACTTCTGGTTGATGACATCAAAATTTGACATAAACGGGCTCACTTCAGCGGTCGTACTTGAGGAGCAGAAGAACGACACCACTGAAGAAGACAACGAGGACGAGGATGAGATTGACAGAATCCCATCTCATACTGCAAGTGTCTCGCGAATATCACGGGCTGCCCAGATTGAGGGACATCAGCAAACACGCAGGATGAAGCGCGAGAGGCTACTAGCACAACTGACTCCTCAACTCGAGATTATCAGGAATATGCCCTTTATCATCCCCTTCGAGATTCGTGTGAAAATCTTTCGACAGTTAATCGACCTCGACAAGAATCGCAGGCGCCGTGGTTATAATCCACCCGGTAGAGAAGAGGGTCGGAGCGATCACACTGCTTATGTGAAGCGTGGCTCCGTCTTTCAAGACGCCTACGACCACTTTTACAACCTTAGTGAAGGCATCAAAGAGTCTATACAGATCTTTTTTATTGATCAATTCGACCAGCCAGAGGCTGGTATTGATAATGGAGGTCTGACCACGGAGTTCCTCATCAGCGCTGCGCAAGAGGCCTTTGACCCAAGCGAGGAAGGTTTTCGGTATTTCGTGGCAAATTAGCAGAACTTACTGTATCCCAACCCCAAAGCCTTTGATGAGCGCGCCGAGCTCCTTCGTCACTTAGGCACCATATAGGGATCGCCGGAATGGAATAAAAGAATGAACGATCTGTCCAGGAGATACGAGTTCTTGGGCCGGCTGATTGAGAAGTGCATGTACGAGGGTATTTTAGTCGATATCTCTTTTGCAAGCTTTTTCCTGCTCAAGTGGGCGTCACCGGGCCAGGCCTCACCCACCCACCACAGGGCGAATCTCAATGATCTCCGAGATATGGATCTGGAGTTGTACCAAGGTCTGATCAGCCTCAAGAACTATTCTGGGGACGTGGCCGATCTCTCTGTGGACTTCACTATCACAGACCAGTTCAGGGACTTCCAAGGCAAAGTCCACACTATCACATGGCCTCTGCGCAAAGAAGGGTCGAGCTTGCCCGTCACGAACAAGGACCGGCCCCTCTACATATTATACGTTGTCAACCATCGCCTGGTGGCCCAGCAGGAACGCCAGACAAAAGCGTTCCTGCGTGGTATGGGCACCATCATCAACCCTTATTGGCTGTCCATGTTCAACCAGTCGGAGCTGCAGCGCTTCGTGGGCGGCGAAAGCAGCGAGATTGACGTCGAGGACCTGCGCCGCAACACGCAATACTCGGGCCTCTATGCCATCGGCGACGACGGCCTCGAGCACCCCACCGTTGAGATGTTCTGGCAAGTCATGCACTCGTTCAAGGACTCTGAGCGGCGCGGGGTCTTGAAGTATGTCACCTCTACGCCGCGCGCCCCGCTGCTCGGCTTTTCCCAGCTCAGTCCCGCCTTCAGCATTCGCGACGACGGGACCGATGAGACCAGGCTGCCCAGCACGAGTACTTGTGTTAATCTGCTCAAGCTGCCGCTGTACAGCTCCGCCGAGACGCTGAGGAGCAAGCTTTCGTACGCAAGCCAGTCTCAGGCTGGATTTGACCTGAGCTGAGTGGTGCTCCTGCAAGCTTCATAGTGTCCATAGTAATCATTGCGTCCAACGGCATGTACAAGGGGCAAAGCGGGTGGGACTTTTGAGCCATTGGCTTGGGGGATCTGCGTTGCATTCTAGACAGTCCTTTCACCTCGCAGGTATCAGTTCAGCCGCGCAGGGAGGCCTTCATGGTGCTGGTTTCGACCTAGCTCTACATTAAGTCTTGTTCTCATCTCTAGTCGATTTTTCACCAAGCATGAATTGCTCTCATTTAGTAGTACATCTTCGCCCTGTTCATTACCAAGTACCTAGTCCCGAAATCTGATGTCCTGACATCCACTCAAGCGCCATTTATTGGACCCGCCCACTGTATCACAAACGAAGACAACATATCATGCTCAGCTCGCCTTTATCGCCGGACACTTGCTGTCCTTGGTCTTAATATTGACGAAGGCATGGACAATAAGCGCCGCCTGGCTCCCGCTCGGATACTTCGGATGCGCGAGCATCGTGACCGCCCAGTACCGCGTATCCTTGGCAGTGAGGGATGCCGAGTTGCACGTGTCCGAGTCCGCTGTGCACTGATCTAGGTGCAGGCAATCGAAGTAGACATTGGCCTCCGCGAGATTGTACCCCTTGGCAAGGGCCCAGCCGATAGCGACCTTACCTTCCTAGTTGGCTTTTGCCGCCTAGGATCCCACCGTTACAGCCTTGGTGATATCATTGCCCCTAGCGCCGACGTATAAGGGCCCCTTGATGTCGCCGCTGCTACCGCCCTGTAGCTCCGCGAGTGTGGAGGTGTCGGACCAGCCCCAACGGTTGCAGCCCTGGCCGGGCTGCGTGTCCAGCGTGAAGGACTTCCTGGTGCTGCGGGTTGGTCTCTCCGTAGCCAAAGGCCGCGCCAACGCTGCAGATTTAGTGGGTTGCAGTCGGCGACGAAGCGGACGTCGATGTCGATATCGATACCGATGTGGAGGTTGTCTTACATGGGACCGCCGCGCACTTGGTGCAGTGGAATATCATCTCAAAGTAGTCCTGGGTGGTGGCCGAGCACGACGTGCACCGACCGCGAGCGTCCCGGGCTATGCAAGGAGCCAAGCTTATGAAAGCAGAAGTGATTACGGTACTAGTGCTCGATTCGACTGATTCAGTTTGGCCAGAGAATGCCAGGAAGACGTTGAAAGCCTCCCGGTCGCCGTTGGGGCACATTCCCGCCATGATATCCTTGATCGGGGTAGTAACAGGAACCCCCAGGATGGTGGTGAAGGGCAGTTTGCAGACAAACCCAGACCCATCCCGTGCGCACACGATTTTGGCCATTGGAGGGTTGCTCCAGGTCTCGGGTCGAGCGAGTTGCCCTTCAGCTTCAGCTTCCACGCTATAGTCGCAAACTTGGTAGTGTAACCCGGGAAAGACGAAAAGTTGAAGTAAAGGTTAGGACCTATGAAGTCGAGGCAGACGCGCGAGCTGACGATACTGCTGCTCGGCGTCGTGAGGGCGATCGCGATGCATCGCTGCACGCAGTTAATCTCGAAGGGCAGCTGGGAGTTGTCCTTGTCGGGCAACGACACGCCCGCGAGGCTACAGTCCTCAGTACAAATGTCGTAGTACGATTTTCTGGACAGCAGCTCGACCGCCGCCCGGACAGTAATTGGCCAAAGCGCCGTGCCTGCTGGGCTAAGACCGCCGAGGAGGCGGAGAAGTATGTGGAGATGTATACTGGCTGATTGCCGGGGCTTTTCAAGACCAACCGGGCCGCTAGGGATCTGAAGATGGGGAGGTTCTGATAGGATTCACATCCGACTCAAGGCATTTACTCACCTGCTCACCTACCTAGTGTACACGTCTCGTACGTAGTCGCATCGCGGGCTTCAGCTAGCCTATGTCTGCAGGGAGTGGCTGTAGAAGGACCGGTTATGCTTGGAGGGAGACTCTGACGGATGGCGTTGTAAAGACCCAATTTGTGCAACAAACATTTGGGCCCACACCTCGACATGGTGCGTCCCAACTCTAATCCTGAACACTGTCAAGCCCTGTAGTAGTGTCAGCGCTACAGCGCGGGTGGAGTGACCCCCAAGCAAAGTACGCCAATTACGACGAGGTCATACTCAGCCTCAGTCTTATACGTTATGGTGTCAATTGTCGCTTAGTTGGCTGTAGCTGCAGGTAGTAAAAGCCACCACTTCTGACATTTTCCAGTTGACAAGGCGCCAGGCCGCCCGATCGGTATGAGCTGCTGCCTTCCAAGCCGCCGCATAGCCTGTCCATAGAAAGCTGAAGATCTCAGATATACAAGTACCCATATAGTTCTCCTCGTCAACTCTTATAGGAAAGTTTTCGGCGAAGACGGAAGAGGCCGTCGTGGAAGTCCCAGTCCCTGCGATCCACGAATGTGGGGTTCATCCAACACAACAAACATGCGCGTTGATCAAACATAACACTTTGGTCAAACATGCCGGATGTCAGATACGAATCTCTTCCAGCTATCTTGGCTCTGGCCCAGAACGTGCAATGCGGGTGTTGCGTCTGTCTGCGAATCCGCTATATTATAGACATGTGAATTTTGGGTCTCTGTTTTACTTGAAGCCGGTGGCCCATCTTGTCAGGCGAAGCCATATTCTTTAGTGCCATGTAGCTCTTTGAGATACATCCTGTGCATACGCTCACCCCTTACCCATTGTTGCGGACCGGCTTACCGGTCGGGTTACCTTGCTATAATGAACGACAGTTAGCCTTTTGACTTATTACTAAGTCGGCTCTTACTATTACCCAGAGAGCTACTCCTTTGCATTCTTGAACATCTCGATGCCAGGTCCTTGACGCAGGTGGAGAAGGCTTCTCGCGACCTGAGAGAAGCCGCCAAAGCTGCCTTCAGGGCCGTATATGGCCCTGGTATCCATCACCGCCAAGTGCAATCAGGGTTGTCGTTTCGCGAACTTGCGATTGAAGAACAACTATATGGCTGCGATGCGTTCGACACTGAGAAGGATATCAAATTTCTTTTGCGAGTTATGTACAATTAGGTGGCAGCGCCCACAGACAACGACAATGATCACTTTGCAGCTTTTGTCCTTATCAGCTTGCGAAGGAGTCGGGCTGAAAATAGGCCTGCCTGGCTGGAGACTGCAGCCCTTGCCCTTATGATCCAGGCCCGCATCGAGGAAGCCGACTCATACTATGAGCGCCTCGCGGCCCTTGGGCCTTTCCCGCCGGATGTCGCTCTCGCGTAGGCGCGGTTTGGCTCCTGCCAGCGATTCGCCACTACCTTGCAGAATCTTGCCGAACCACTAACCGCATATCTGCTCGCGAAATCGGCAGTGTGCGCTGCTGTGCGGGGAGATGTCGACTTGCTTAAGTATCTGTGCTCAAACTTCTCGGTACAGCTGGACTGGGCGATCGGCAATTACACCACCGCATCTGTCGCTGCCTTTGGCGGACATATCAACGTGCTGGAGTTTCTCCATAACCGCGGTGTTAACATTGTATCTCCAACACTACGGCCATTGCCAATTCTCACGGCAGTCAACTGTGGTTGCCAAGAGGCGGTGCAGTACCTGCTAGAAAAGGGGGCTCCCACCCGCTATAATGGGTTGCTTCTAGCTGCCAGCGCCATATCTCGAGGATTCTTGGATATCCTCCGCCTGATTTCAGAAGCCAGGACCCTTCCAAACGCCGACCTCGCTGGGAGACTGCTCGTCGGATATGCTGTAGAGTCCGAGGTTACTGAAAGTAGGGAAGCAACCATCGAGTTCCTCGTCACAGAAGCTAAGCTTGACATTAATGCTCTCGGGGTGGGCGGCACAGCACTTCATATTGCAGTCAAGTCTGGCAATATAGACATTGTCAAATGTCTGTTGAGACTCGGCGCAGACCCGCTCGTCAAAGATCTCCTTGGACAGACTGTCTTTGAGCACGCGGTTTCCCACAATCCGCCAGTTGCCGAATGGTTGGCTGAAAAATACGGAGCATCCATCTCTAAGTACGCGGCGCCGAAGGCTCGACTAGTCGCAAAGGTCATGCAGTCGTGGACGCAAAACTGGATTTACCGACTGGCCGATTGGGTCCAGGACAGCGTCCTTGTGTCCGCGCAGGACACTAAAATTCAAGCTGTCGGGCGTGTATGGAGCGCTCACGGCATGGACGAGAAGCTTTCTAGTATATGGCTGCGCAATCTATCACTTACAGCATTGCAATGGTATGTGGGCGAGTTTCGAGGCAGGGACGTGGAGAAGTGTTACCTGGATGCCGCCGTAATCTCTTTCAGTCTCAATCGGGTGATTAATTCAAGACAAGGTTTGGCGACTAGGGAGCACAACAAGCCAATCAAAGACGACGAGCTATTACAGGCGGCGCTAACGATCGCAACTGTGTATCACCCTTTCGAATCGATAATGCGCCGGGCGCTTGTGTCAGAGCTGCACCAGAGAGTGCCCGCTGCGCGCATCCGTGCACTGGGCCAAGTCCTTGCTAGTCCCGATGCCCAAATGTTTCTGATGGGCCATGCGGCAATCGCTCGGGAGGAGGCCGAGGCATTTACGAAACTTATTGATTCACAACGATGGAGGCTCCGGGCAAAGGCATAATGGCTGATCCTGCTGGTGCAGGATGCTCCTAACGTCTGAGGTAGTTTGACTTGCGAGTTTCTTCGCACGCAAAAGGGTGGCCACTCAAAGGAGCACTTCTCTGCTAACGAACGACGGATTAAGCCCCGGCGTGCTCCATCTTTAGCGTAATAATCTAGATGTGAAGGCGGACAGAAGGGGACTTAGTTAGGTTCATCTAAGCTAAACCATACGTAGAAAGTCGAGCTGTCCTTGGGCGTAAGAACTTAGGGTTGTGTAAGATATGCGAGCAACATTGACGATGATATTTTATGTAGTGCGGATCTGGGAATAAATATCTAGGGTAGCACATTTCTACCAGCCGACTTCCTAACAGTGAGCCATTACATCACCAAGCTATAGACTCTTGCTAGATCTACATGAAGTCGCTACGGTCTGCCCATTGGGCATGGTTCGAGGAACAGGCACCAGGCATGCCGCAAATGAAGCTCCATAAGCACAATCGAGATTGCTATCAAGGAAGAGCGAATTGCATGATACTGCACCAGAATAATATCTTTCTGCCTGTCAGAGTCTCTATCATCAGCTTCGGGCTCTCATCATGGTACTTCTCCAAGATCCTTCTGTTGAAAATATTCTCCGTCCAACACATTGTCAGGGCTGAAAGACGCTCCACAAATAATGGACTTAACCATGCACCACAAAGGGAGCTAGACAGGGGCGCTTTGGGCAAGATAGCAATGCAGAAGCGTTTGCATACACGTGAAATTCCCATGGTAAGGCTGAAATGCGGCTTGATGGATATAATCCAGGTTAGTGAAACAAGGAGATGGGGACTCCTTCCGCAGCCCATCATTTTGAGCATTTCTTAAAACGTGCAGAAGCGGATGCCGGTGCCGTGGAGCCTGCAGAGATTATAGAAACAAACAGATTTCCCGGGTCCTAACTCGGCCATGAGCCACGATGCTTGCTAGTTGCTGTCAGCACGTGATGCTTGATTCCAGCATCCTACCAAGCAAATGCACTAGCTGGCAACTCATCTACCATGGGCCTGCTATTGCACGACAGTTTGACTCCTGTTCGCTAAAGACGATTGAACTCAATAAGTCTCACCCTACCAAGAACACAAGAAATGCACATCATACGCACCGGGGGTATCGTCATCTCGTTACTGATTCTAGGTCGCCTGTGGGTGATGTACCGTGGAACAGGCGGGCTTACACTCCTTTCGGCGACTGAGTCGGACATAGAAAAGACAGATCTTGCAAATCTCGGATTTGTGCGTCGAGCCCGCAAAGGCGGGCATATCAGGCTCTCGGCAACCTTCAAATACACACAAAGCTGTGTCCAGCTTTCTCGCGATCTACCTGTCGACAGAAGTAATGTTACAAAGGTTGCCCCACGGCTCATTGCAGAGCCCATCGAGGCAAGGCTAGATTAACCGGGATCTCTGCATATAGAGCCGTGCGATGCGATTCTCCTGCCATTCGGAAATGCATACCTACGTTCAGCCAAATATAAACACCTGGTATTCGGTATGGCCACGTCTTTGGTTCGTCTAAGTCAGAGCATCGACCCGATTGCTCATTGGGCTTCTGACCGGGGCACACTCCTCGTCGTGGTGATCGAAGACTACATCGGGCATGAGGACGAAGTCGCCGACCTCCTTGCACAGTTTCACAGCCTCAAGGTTAACGCCATCTTCGTACCGCCTCTCGCCAGTAACCATTCCATGTCGCAATCACATTTTGCAGTTCTGAGCAAGATGCTCGCCGAAAGCGGGCTAGAGACAAAGTGGTTTGCTCTGCTTGACGACGACACCTTCTTTCCGCACCTGGAGCCTTTATCTACTGCACTCAGCTCTCTTGATTACGAAAACAAAGACCTTTATGTTGGCGGGCTGACGGAGGACTGGGGATCCCTCACGCGATTCGGTCTTATGGCTTATGGCGGTGCTGGCGTATATCTCTCTGCACATCTGGCCAGGAAGATCGGGAACCTGGACCAGCTCCTCCAGTGCATCGAGGAGTCCCCGCCTTAGTTGGGAGATATCATTATCCGTGACTGTGTCTATCGCCACAGTAGGGCGCGTCTGACCGTGCTGCTAAATCTGTAAGTCCTTCCACCCTAACATTGATGTCTTGTGACAAGAGACCAACCTGCTCGATAAAGATATCAACACGATTTGCTAGGCGACCTGCGCGGCTTCTTCGAATCTGGCGTTGAGCCTTTGAACTTGCACTACTGGAAAAGCTGGTATAGCGAACCTGTAGTCTCCATGGCGCAGGCGACGAACTTTTGCGGGTATTTCATTCTTGTGAAGCGCCGGGTTCCTAGTAACGCGTATGTTGACTCGGCGAGCTTGTGCTATAGGAACTGCTTCCTTTAACGATTCATCTTTGGCAACGATACTGTCCTTAGTAATGGGTACTCGATCACCGTGTACCCAAAGGGTGTGGATTCGCTTAATCTTAACAAGATAGAGCGAACATGGGGCACCGTCTACGCAGGCGAGGATCCGAAGTACGAGTACAGCATGGGGGCGCTGCGTGACAGGGTGCCCGACAGTGATTACAAAACGTACTACCTTAAATACACGGAAGCCAGGGTAGATCGTATGAGACAGCTATATGTGTGGAAAGGAGTTGAGGAACGTGGAGTGCTTGACGAAGTTGTCGAGCTGGTTTGGAGGAGATGACTCACCGCCAGGGTCATATTCTGCTCCATAAATGGCCGAATATCATGTCGGGCAGGATGTCAATTCAGTAGCAAGGCCTCAGAGTAAGACCATATCACTCGAGATCTGTCTGGTCGTCACAGAGATGTGACGACTAGCAGGCAAGAAGGCAAAGCGTGGAGGCATGAATCACTATGCGGACATCGACAGACTGCGCGTCCTCCTCGCTGTTCCTCCTTCCGATGACTGGAGATCCGAGTCCTAGAATTGAAACAAGAAATGTAATTTGCCAGTAGAGAGTTTTCAAGAGATAGGCAGCCGTCCAGCAGTCGGGGCGCTTGTGTGTACAGCCCCCTTATGCGTGCGCCAAGTCTGCCTGCTTGGAACGAACAATCGTGGGCGGCCGCACCGCCCTGAGGCTGACGCCCTGTAATAACCCCGACAATGACCGCTCGAGAGGCTCATATATTAAATGTGTGACCAGTGATGATCGCTTTAGCCTTCAATCGAGTACGGAGCGGGGACTTTCATCCGGCTGCTGGTAAGCGCCGTCTATGTCTACCACTAAAGATGGCACAGCTCCGTTGCCCGGCGCACCTTGTCAGTGACGGCAACCTCAAATATTTTGAATTCAGCGACTCGGAGCTCGGGCGGACGAGGGCTGCACGGGTTATAGATCACGAGCCGACTCCTGGGAGACCAAGTGTTGTACTGCGATATAGCAAGTACGGTGCAGAAGTCACGCGAATGGGCTTTGCGTGACTGCGCATCGGAGCCAGAGGGCAAGCCCCTGGGGCGCCCGGCGGCCGCAAGGCGGCAAATTTGGAACACTCCCTCGGATGCCGGACTGAGTTGTCGCCACGGGCGGCGACCGCGGCGGCCCATGGCTTCCTTCGGGTCTTGCTTACGGGCTCAGCTTGTAAGTTGGTTGAGGCAGTGTCGCCCGGCGGGTTGGTCGCCAAGGTGCAATCGCGGTCTGGGTCATAAGCCATGCACAGCACTTGGTTAGCGCTGCCCAGGCTGTCGATGCGTTGTTTGAGAATGCAAAGAGTGCGTGCAAAATTAACTCCCAGGAAGAGTTATCATCTAATCGATTCAGAGTAATGCAGCCTCGCATTGAAGATTACAGTCCATTTTCGCCTTGAGGTGGCCATAATGAAACTGCCTATCTGCTTCAAGGGCTTGGAGAAGGGCTGGTCCTGAGGTCCCAAGTGAAAGGTCTGATTGAGCGCGCTCTTGCTTGCCCACCTTTGAGCTAACACGGAGACAATGACCCTGGGAGTGTCCTGACATGCAAGGGACACGCAAGGGCAACCTACCCGCTGCTCTCGAAAGTTGTTTGCAGGCTGGGGATACTCGACACCTGCTTGCCATCATACTTGCGTCCGGTGAAGGCGGCCAGACCTCCCTCCATCAATGTTTGGTGAGTCTGTGCGGCCAAGCAGACCACCTCGGGCCTGAAGGAACATATCTCCAGGGGAGTGCGAGCGTCCACAGGTGGCCAGGTGGGGTTATGTGCGGAGGGGTTGAAGCCGGCCCACTTTGAGGGGCTGCCAGGCACCCAGCGTCGCTGGCTGTCAGGCACCCGCCGTCAACGCACCTTGTCACTGGAGGTGCTCAAGACGGCACTTCCCCCAAAAGCAATCACCAGGCCATCACCCTTTTCTGCATCACCAACATCAACCCCGATCTGCTTCACGGGTGCACAGCCAGCACCGAGGTAAGCGCACCATTCGAGACCGCCTCCAGCACCTGCCAATATACCAGACAGGGCGATCCTGAATCGTTCAGTCTGCATTCATCTGCTGACCCCGCAATCACCTCTTCTTAGTGGACAGAGACCAAGCCAAACATTCTTCACCTACAAAGTCTCTGGGCAGAGGCAGTCTCCATCTCACCAAGCGGCAAGGAAGGCCCGCCAGAAGAACGTACACATGGACAGGAGGCTTTCCCAACTCGGCCCTGAGGCCGGCTTCGATGCTTGCAGCCCTCATGCCAATCACCTGCTTGATCGATACCAAGGTCGAATGGGAGAGTCCGGAACTCGCATAACCAACGCAGCGATGCACGAGAACCAGCTCTGCGTCCCGGCAGCCTAGGAGGACTGGGACACAGATACCAAGGATCTCCTGCAAGAGCTCTGTGAGGGCGTTATCCACCACATCTTGTCGCTCGACGATCGCTTCCGCTTCGAGCACGAAGTAGTCTTCGCCGCAGTTAACATTGCTCTCCGCGCCATCATCAACCCCGACGAATGGGCCATTCCTGAGCTGACCAAGGAGGTGCTCTACGCGAAGGTCGGCAGCGCCTGTCTTGACATCGCGATTGGCCTCAGTACGGTCGATGAAGCCATCGTTGAGGCGATGCTGGAGACCGCAGTCATGGATGCAGACCAGCAGCTCTCCAGGGATAGCATTCTCAGCACACGAGCGAGCATCCTGCACCGCATTCATCACGTCATCGGCCCAACCCCGATCGCCTTCCTCGACTTTGTGTATCCTCCCGATTCGCGTACCCCCTTGGAGCAATACATACGCTTCGAAGTCTTGCGTGTCCTCCGGGCTGCAGTGGTGGAGCCGTCTTTCTTCTCTTGCTCTGCGAGCCAGATGGTGGCTGCGGCAGTCTCTGCAACGTGGCGTCGTCGGTTCGGAATCCCCTGGGCGGAGCCGCTCGATTCCCTTCCTGGTCACCATTACGAAGAAATCAAGTGGATAGCGGACCTTCTGTAATGTCGCAAGTGAGTTGCGGGGTGCGGTGATTCCCGGCTCATACTCTCTACAAGAATGTCTTATGTGTATGGGAAGGACGTTCGTAAAACAATGTCAAGGGTACCCATAGATTTCTTGCCCTACGGAACCTCCTCGCCGCGGTCTGGGAAGGTGAGACATAGTGTCTGGCAGTGTAGGTGCGGGCCATTCATAGGCGAATCGACATTTGTCTCTACATAAAGCTGGTCAATGTATCTCTCGTTTAGTTACACTTCCTGTCAAGAATTTGCCCGAACCTTGCTTGTCTCAGCCAGCAATATGTGTGACCTGATCTAGCGAGACGAAGCGTAGCTAATTGCCTCCCCTACCATCTGGCGGCAAGGAGTAAGCCGCTACCAGGCGCTCTTCCCACTTGGTATGTAATACAACTTCCTACATATTGTTGCCCCTCTGTTCATGTAAGTTTAAGTCCGCGTCGAACCACGTCCTCTCCTGTAGCAGGGACGCGGAGCGGCGTTCCGCCTGGTACGCTGTGGCCGATGTCCCACCCCGAACAAGCCGTAGATAATTGTTTTTTTGTTTTTCTTTTGGGCCGAAGACGACGGCCCATAAGCCCAGCTAGTCCGACGTGCTAAGCTTGTGGGATGCCCCGTGACCGAATACTGAGGGAGCTCACCGTTGTTGTAGTGGAGTCCTGTTTCAGCACTAGGGCGGGGGCGGCTCTGTCGCATATGTATAACATCCACCATATCCTGCCAGCTCCTCCTCCCTAAAGTGGCAAGTGGGGTAGGGCAACGCGGCTTAACATTCGTTAGGTCTTTAATAGGCCATCGCGCAGCACGCATCGTGCACGATTATGCCAAGCCCAATCGGAAGGATGATGATCATGATAGCACGTCTTTAATTCTAAGGTTTTTCGAACCTATCTGCCATTTTTCGTAGTGCTATTACGTATCTAGCCTAGGTCCCCGTTAATCCCGTTAGAAAGCGAACGGACGCTAAGCCAATTGTTTATTTACGTTCTATCGGCTAGACCCCAGCATCTAACTCCACCCTTCGTCTCGCCCAGCTAGAGCGGTTTGTTTGTAGTACAGTAATCTTAAATACGGTGTTAGGGTGGTTGGGACCGCTACTTACGCGACTTTAGGCACGGCTGTGGAAAAGCTTCCACGCCTATGGAGAAATTTCCACGCCCGTGGAAAAGCTTCCACGCTTATGGAAAACTTCCCCAGCGCCCCGCATTTCGCGAACCCCCTTTTAGCCAAAGCGACGTCTCTCAATTATCTTTACGTCTTCATTCTCCGTGTTATCACTACCTATGGAGGCTATGAAGTATTTTACCCTAGGCCGGGCTAAGATCGACTATAAAGTAACAGCGCCCTACTATACGGTTAGACATTTCCTTCATTCGAAGATTTAGAACGCATCGTATTAGTGTTTGCCAGCCGACATGGATACAAGGCCAGAACGAAGGAGAAGAGGGAGAGGACCCGATTCTATATCTACGGATATAAACAATGTCCCGTTACGTAGAGCGCATAACAAGTGGTCAACAAGTTTCCTCCGCTCTTAGATTCGCTTAAGGTGGTCCGCATATATGTGACGACCCGACCAACAGGTCGCAAGATCGGGCCAGGGACAAGGGCAGGTCATGCACGCGGGTCCAAGAAACATTACCTAAGCCACCATGATGAGTCATCCAGGACAGGACCACGCCAAGACCATGGAACTGTGCCAAGAACTGTGGGACTGCGCAGTCCCAGTAGGAACTGCGCAGTGCGCCGGTAGAACTGACAGTTCCAAGGCACGGCAACACAGTTCACGATGAAGGACAAAGGATATATAGAGCCAGAAGGATTTCCTTGTAGACAGTCATTACCTTTGTACTTCAGCGATCAATCTAAGTATCACCCTCACCCTTCACTTGACCTAGTCACTCAATTGATCCGAGTGTGATATCTCGCAAGAGACACGAACGACAACCCCCTCGAGAACACGAGAAGCACGGAGTCAGTATTGCATGAGGTCGCTACCTACCTTATCCAGAACATAAACCCCACCGCGCCGATCAGACGGTTGACCCCGGAGATCGGATCGTGACATTCGGGTCTATATAGTACGTGATCTATCTCAAGAGGCTATAGACGGTCTCATTCCCCTAGGTAAGATCATTAGTATCACCATTACCAGACCAACCACTTCTACCAGCAAGGTTCAATTCTCAGATATGAATCAGAGTCCATTTAGTTACGAAATATTTAGGGAAGGAGTTAGGGATAAGCACGCTCAAAAGCGCAAGTATTATAAACTGAAGCAGTTCGCCTCTCTATAGTTTGCCATTCTTTTTAGGCTTGCCGACTTTAAACCTAGTCTTGCCTCACTTAAGGATAGCGTACGTCTCGACATTAGCATCTCAGAAGTCGTAACCGATAGGCGATTTTTCATTAATGAAGTCACACGATTGTGGAATGCGTTAAGCTTTTTAGAGGGGAACTCTACTAACGTTCAAGAACAATAGGGCGAAGCTATTAGCCATTCGTATATATAGCCTCGATGTTAGCAGCAATACCCCGAGCTGTTAGAGCCTCTTAGGACAGAAGGAAGTGAGGTAGGCTTACCTGGACGCCCCGCGAAGCAACAGCGGCCCGGATAAAGACGTACTTTCAACATCTCATCTTACTAGTTATTATCAATTCTTTATTCGTCTCCATAGCTTTCCTACTATATTCAATCAATCGGGCTTATACTTGCCGCGCGGAGCTAAGCTGCAATGCGAAGCTATGCTGCTTTTTCTACTTATCCTAGCTAAGTCTATTAGCGTACGACCATCCTCGTTGCGGTTATCAATGTCGGCGCTGCTATCTAGTAGTTTCTATATAACGTCGTTACGCCCCTAAGATGTTGCCCATAACAATGGAGTCTTCCATTAATATCTCGGCTATCTACCTAAACGCCTCTCGCTAGTAGCAGATCTATAATGCTGATATATCCCTTTTCGGCAGCTAATAATATCAGCGTCCGACCATGAATATCTTTACTATCGGGCTCTACGCCACTATCTAGTAGCAGCCGCACGACGGCTTCGGCCCTGTTATAGATAACCCATACGAGCGGTATCCGACCAAAGGAGTCTCTTTCGTCAATTCTAGCGTCTCTATCGAGCAGTAGCATCACATTCCGCTCGTATCCTATACCGGCAGCCTATAAGATCGGTGTCCGACCGGTCTTATCTATACGATTAACCTCAGCGCCGTTGTTAAGTAGTAGTAGCACTACCTCGTCGTACGGATTGCTAGACGCCTATAAGAGTGGCGTCCGGCCGGCCCGATCCGGGTAATCTACCTCGGCGCCCTTATGAAGCAGTAGCTACATAAGATCTGCGAATCCGTTTTCAGAAGCATAAGCTAATAGTGTTCCTACGTTACTACGAAAGTTAATATCAGCACCTCTTTCTATTAGTAGCCGCACCGCCTTTATATGTGTAACGGCCAACCAACAGGGGACGGTTGTTTGGGCACGGAAGAGTCCAAATGTGACGACCCGACCAACAGGGGAACTGCTTGGGGCTGAGGTAACAAACAAGCCCAGCACAAACAAGGCCGCAGGATCAGGCCAGGGACAAGGGCGGACCAGCGAAGGCTGGCGGGGAACACATTATGTAAGCACCCACCTTATGTCAGCAGCCGACGATGAACGGTCGCACGGCGACCATCATCCGTCGGTCTTGCGACAACAAACTGTCGGCATGCGACCCAACGGTGTCGCAGGACGACGGGCACGATGAAGGACAAAGGGATATATAGAGCCAGAAGGATCTTCTAGATAGACAGTCATTACCTTTGTACTTCAGCGATCAATCTAAGTATCAGTTTCACCCACACTTGAACTAGTCACTCAATTGCCGAGACTGGTATCTCTTCCAAGAGACACGAACGACAACCCAGAGAGAGAACGACAGCAGAGTGTTAGTTGTTATTGCACAGGCTTTACCTATCTTGCGGAACAGCAACCCCAGCGCCCTGCCAGACGGTTGACCCCGGAGGCAGGATCGTGACACCAAACAACTAGGCCGCAGGATCAGGCCAAGGACAAGGGCGGATCATGTGGCAGTGCCGTCACAGGTTTCTTATGTAAGCACGATAAAGGGCGATAAGGAAGGTACGTACCGGTCATGCATATCTGCATGACCGAC